TAAGGGTAAAGTCTTTAAAATGATATCCTAACTTTTGTCTATCCAATGAAAATCCACTTAACAAATCGTCACCTTGGAGCAAAAAGTCTTGCTACAGACATCTTTTAAGAAAATAAGCAGTACTGTATATAAATTTTTGACTTAAGCAGACTACATTAAATTGGACAGTTTGTTAAAGTATGTTTACAAAAGCAGCAATCCTATAAGGAAAACTAATTGATTTTTATTTTTTGTCATACTTGTAAATGTTTATTATTTCAAAGTTTATCGTTTGAAATAAGACATAAAAGAGCTTAATGATTACAAGTATAATATCTTTTTGAAAATTCCATAATGTCTTTTATATAAAGATGAATTAACTGATCAGTTATGCGTCAAAAATGTTTTTTCGTGAAATTAACAGTGTCAGAAGAAGGTTTAGCAATTTCTGAATGGCTGTCAGGCAGAATTTTGATCAATTTACAACTTTAAAAGAGTGTTTTACTGAAGATAATAATATTACACTGAAGTATCGAAATATAATTGATCATGTATCAGGGTTATCCAAGGATTTCTTGTAATTTGATATTATTTCAGTAGATTTTATACACTGTCTGTATAAAAACCAGTTGATTAGGTGGGGCAAATTGGTAAAGAAAAACAAGTTGATTCACTAAAAGGTAGGGCAAATTGGTAAAGAAAAATGTTATTAGATAAAAATTGTTTGTTTATAAAAGTAATTATGATACCATTTTGAAACATTTTATATTGGTTCTGTTTGTAGTAGTTGTTTCAACTTATCTGGAAAATTAATTTTAAAAACTGATATATTGGCATTATTACGAATTTAAGGTACTTGTTATTTAGTCCATGGAATTACTGTTATGTGATATTAAGTCCATGTAGGTTCATCATTGTATGTATTACAATTGTATGATATTAAGTCCATGGTGTTACAATTGTATGATATTAAGTCCATGGCATTACACTTGTATAAGTCCATGGCATTACAATTGTATGATACTAAGTCCCATGGTATTACAATAATTAATGTATGATATTAAGTCCATGGCATTACACTTGTATGATTTTATGTCCAAAGCATTACAATTGTATGATACTAAGTCCCATGGTATTTACAATAATTAATGTATGATATTAAGTTCATTGCATTTCATTTGTATGATATTATGCCTCATGGAGTTTATCATGGTATGATATTAAGTCAATGAGGTTACAGTTATATGGTGTTAATAACATGAGGTTTTAATTGTATTATATCAAGTTGATGGAATTGCTTTTCCATGCTGAGTTACAAGATTGTATAATAATTATTAATAATTCATTATTAGTCCAAAGAGTTAAAATATGGAATAATATTCAATATTAAGTCCATGAAGTTACATCAGGATATAAAAACTTTTTGAGCTTAAGAATATAGATAGTATAAAAAATCATTTATTTCTAAATAAAAAGATATTTCTGTAACTTGGCTTGGATTGGTGTTACAAGTTTCAGCCCTTAATGTATACACATAGGATGTGCAGATAATTGGGGTTTATGAGAAAGTGGGGATTGATTTAGTACTACAAGAAATTAATATAATGTCATTACACAGTCAAATTCATATAGGGAATGTGATAACAGATTAAAAAAAGAAGATGATATAAATTTTCAGTTTGATATATTTACACTACCCTATGTTTACTTAAAGTTCTTACGATCCTAAATTAAAAGTTGGATAGAATTTACATTTTTATGGAAAACTGAGTTACACAAAAAAGTATGAAATTAATGAAATTCAGAAAGAACGAACAGTTATACAAACCTATTTGATAACAAATTCTTGGCTTGATATCCTTTGGGTTGCTCTCCATGATTATGTGTCTGTCTGTCTGTTTGATTGGTTGATGGTGATTCTGTTTATGGCAAAACAGTTTATGATTATGTTTCCAAAGCTATTTATTTTGTTGTAGACATCAGCTCCTGTATCTGGTGAGAGATTAAATTTCATTTACTACTTCAATTAATCTTGCATTGTTGTTGGATGTTTTTTGCTATGAATCAAGCACACTGTCCTGTTTGATTGCTTCTTTCTGGAATATGTTCTGATAGAATGATACACAATTAACTGTCACATGTTATTGTAGATTATGTCAAACATAAATGTGTGAGCAAGGGTAGAATTTGTCCAATTTATCTTCTATCCTTAGGTGGGCACATTTCACTTTAGTCAACCTCTAAGAATTACTCTTCAATTGTAACTCCTACAAAACCAAGATGTACAAATATGAAGTCCTTTTAGCTTCATAAATTGAATTCTAAAAAAGAAATTAAGATTTAACCATCATTTATTACAAAATGTTCAATAATTACGTCCATATGCTCCTAATTTCGTCAATTAATACACGATTTTTAACATGTAACCGAATTGCATGTTGAAAAGATCTGTCATTTTATTCACGAAAATGTCCAAAAAAAGAATACGTCTACGATTGAAACTTTTGTATGATTTTTTTTTAAATGTAGGAGTTTTGTCATCCATTTATTCATAGGTCAGTGTCAGTTCATTTTTTTATTCAATTTAATTTATTTTTTTTAAAGAAAGAATACAACATAATGCTCTCTCTTCAAAGGCAATAAATGGGAGTTTTATGATCAAGGTTGGATAATAACTTAGTCCAAAAACTTTTTTTTTCTCAGTTGAGAAGAAAACTGTCCTTGAAGTAAATCGGCAGTTTATCTCAATTAAGGGAACAATGACATTGAATGAAATGCAATGAAATTAAACTGAAATAAAATATTATGAATTATTAAGTTAGTTAAAAGTATTGATTGATAGTTACTGATCATAATTTAAGAGATATTGAACTTGCTAATCTCGCCTTATAATGCAATAAAGATATTATCTAACGTCTTACAATGCTAAGTATATTAAATGAACTTGTCCATCTTTTAACCTTGGACAAACCTATTCATCAATTAGAGGGAAAATTTCAATAGCGAGCAGAGCCGAACAGTGCAGACTATGACCAGATACTATTGATGTGCCAGCTGATCTTGGTCTGCACAGGGCGCATGGGTAGATTCATTTACCATCAGCATGTCAGGGGTTAATGTCTTTATTAAAAAAGAAGAACAACATATTTAAAGGGGTATGCATCAATTGTAAGTCATTATTTTATAAAATGGTTAATAACAAAATACTTAATTTGCATATTTCATATTTATTGTGAATAACACTGAACATACAATTTTAATCATCAAAACAACAAAAGCCATATTTTTATTCAGTACAAATGTATTTAGTTATTTCTTATTAAATTTTATGTTACATCTCATACTGTTAATTACAAAGAAATTATTAGAATAAAACTAAAACATATTATGAAGTGCAAGTGTCCAAATTCCCATGACACTGAATTAATGTTACATAAGTTCTTTGAATGCTTGCAACAATAACAACTTGCCTACGCCACAAGTAGATATATACAGTATTAATGTATTTTTGATAGTTTCTGTCATTTGATAGTCGAAACAGATTAGAAAAAAAAAGATAAATTTGAATAAAGAAATTAATAAAATTTCCTAAAATGATGGGTAAATAAATTACACAAAATCTTTCATATATGTTCATACTTATATATTGTAAACATTTGTCTTGAAAATTGCAATTCAGAATTAAGATGTCTTTAAATATTTATTTTTAGTATTCAACACTGAAAGTTGTGTGTCAAATCTTAATTTTCAAATCTTCAGACATACTGTTTTGATACAGAAATATTAATATTAAAATTTAAAAAAATATACTAACATGAAAATATTCCTTTAGAAACTGCTACTGTCGATTTTGTGAAACATTATCTTTAAATATATATGAAATATAAATTTTGTGACTGTGCCTTTAATAACAGATTGATAGGTATTGAATTTTTTCTTACAATTTCTTTGTAGAAGACACTTAAGTAGTTTCTGTATTAACCTAAGGTTAGTTAAAAATCAAAGTAACAGTTTTAAGGTTTTTGGTTCCCTTCTGTGCAAATGAATTCTCTCAATACTTAACATGAAGTTGCCCAAAAACAAAAATGAATTTGCCCACAAAGAAAATATATTTAAGTTTCCACATTAAAAATGAACTAGTCCACAATGAAAATATAAAGTTCCCACAATGAAAATGAACTTGTCCACAATGAAAATATAAAGTTCTCACAATGAAAATGAAGTAACTTCACAATGTAATATAAGTTTGTATACAAAAAATGAAGTTATCCAACATGAAAAAGTTTAACTACAAAGAAAATGAAGTTTTAATGAAGAAATGAAATTTCATAATAAAATTAACTGTTTCACAGTAAAAGTGAATTTTTCCCCTCAATGAAAATGAATATTCCCTCAGAAAAATGAAGGTAACCAAAATGTAGTGTCCAAAATACGACAGATTTTCACTCTGTATGTTACTTAAAAGAGAGGGTTTTTCTATGTGGTATCCTACCACCTTATTTTAAAATTTTGTTATTTCAAGAATAATTTTCATGTTTTTTATATATTTTTTCCATACAATTTGATATGATAAGTGGACTGTAAGATATTATTATAACAGATTTAATTTCACACCACTTTGTAACCTGTATAAAAAGGCAACATTTTGAAAAACTTGATTTGCTCTAACGTAAAGTAGATAGGTAAATATGGATTAGAAAAAAATGAAAGTACTGGTAGTACCCACCTAAGCTTTTCTTCTATGACATTTTCTATTTCACATAAAATATTTTCTCTATTTGTATAAAAACTCAATTGGCTGACAAAATTCAAATTTTCATCCTAATATCCATCAAATTGATAATGGACTGCCCCAAAAGTGGAAGTTGAACAAGTCTATTCTGGTAATCTAATAATCAGGGAAGCTAATATACTAGTAAAATGTATATTCTTTGTTTCAGGCAAGATATTCTGTATTTTTTGCGAAGGTATTACCTTCATTTGACAAAATTTTAACACAATTATAATATTATCTATTTCAGGAGATCACCTTGGCTTACTGCTAGATGTAGATAACCAAACTATTATATTTTCTCTAAATGGAAACAGACTGCCTCCAGAGAGGGATTTATTTATATGTGCAAGGTAGGTGCAACAAAACTAAATTGTATAAATGGATTTGCCCAGCTTTTAATTTGGAACATTCCATTCCAAGATTAAGGGAGTTCAGTATCATGATACAAAATTTGAGCAGCCTGGTCATAAAGAGAGACACTGGCCTGGCTCTGTACTGGTGGCAAAGGTGAATCTTTTTTGGTTCCGGCAGGTCAAGGGTTAACCTGCACCCTGCTGGATTTTTAGCTCACCTGTCACAAAGTGACAGGATGAGCTTTTGTGATCGCTTTTCGTCCGGCGTCCGTCCGTCCGTAAACTTTTACTATAAATGACATCTCCTCATAAACCACTAAGCCAATTTCATCCAAACTTCACAGGAATGTTCCTTTGGTGGTCACCTTTAAAAATTGTTCAAAGAATTTAATTCCATGCAGAACTCTGGTTGCCATGGCAACCGAAAGAAAAAACTTTAAATATCTTCTTTTAAAAAACTCTAAGAGCTAGAGCTTAGATATTTGGCATGGAACATCTTCTAGTGAGTGTCTACCAAGTTTGTTCAAATAAAATCCCTGGGGTCAAAATTGGCCCCGCCCCAGGGGACATTGATTTTCCCTATATGCATATAGTAAAAACTTAAAAATTCTTCTTTTAAGGAACCCAAAGAGCTAGAGCTAAGATATTCAGCATGAAACACCTTCTAATGAGTGTGTACCAAGTTTGTTCAAATAAAAGCCCTGGGGTCAAAATTGGCCCCGCCCCAGGGGGTCATGGATTTTCCCTATATGCATATAGTAAAAACTTAAAAATTCTTCTTTTAAAGAACCCAAAGAGCTAGAGCTAAGATATTCAGCATAAAACATCTTCTAATGAGTGTGTACCAAGTTTGTTCAAATAAAAGCCCTGGGGTCAAAATTGGCCCCGCCCCAGGGGGTCATTGATTTTCCCTATATGCATATAGTAAAAACTTACAAAATCTTCTTTGAAAGAACTCAAAGAGCTAGAGCTAAGATATTCAGCATGAAACATCTTCTGATGGGTGTCTACCAAGTTTGTTCAAATAAAAGCCCTGGGGTCAAAATTGGCCCTGCCCCGGGGTTCATTGATTTTCCGTATATGTGTATTGCAAAAACTTAAATAATCTTAATTGAAAAAACCCAAATAGCTAGAGTTTAGATATTAAGCATGAAACATCTTCTAGTGAGTGTCTACAAAGTTTGTTCAAATAATAGCCCTTGGGTCAAAATTGGCCCCGCCCCGGGGGGTCTTGATTTTCCCTATATGCATATAGTAAAAACTTAAAAAATCTTCTTTGAAAAAACCCAAATAGCTAGTGATTAGATATTAAGCATGAAACATCTTGTAATAAGTTTCTACAAAGTTTGTTCAAATAAAAGCCCCGGGGTCAAAACTGGCCCCGCCCCAGGGGTGTCATTGTTTTTAACTATATGTGTGTAGTAAAAACTTAAAAATCTTCTTTTAAAAAAACCCAATGAACTAAAGCTTAGATGTTTAGCATGAAATATCTTCTTATGGATGTCTACCAAGTTTGTTCAAATAAAAGCCCTTTGGTGAAAATTGGCCCTGCCGGGGGTGGGGGGGGGGATGAGATCATTGTTTTTCATTACATGTGTGTAGTAAAAGCTTAACATTGTGAAACATCTTCTAATGAGTGTCTTCCAAGTTTGTTCAAATAAAAGCCCTGGGGTTTAAACTGGCCCTGCTATGGGGGCCTATATACAGGTGAGCGAACTCAGGGCCATCATGGCCCTCTTGTTATAAATAGACTTGTCCTACCTTAAACTCAGAAGAGTCCATTATAAGGTTTTCAATGTCAAAAGAATAATGAAATATTTTGGGCAGCCAAGATTATAAAGAGTGTGGTCTGACTGCATGGTTGTTCAGTTGACCAGTCTATTTATTGGTGGCATTTGCTGCTAGCACCAGAAGAGATAATACAATCCAGTCCACAGTTATATTACATATTTGTGCATACAATTACACATAATTAAATGTGTCATAAAATATTCACATAAAACAATACCTGGACTGGTTGTCTCGGGTTAATTTTTTTTTTTTGATTTTTCAGGAGTGGTTTTTTTGCTGCTGCAAGCTTTATGTCATACCAGCAATGTGAGTTTAACTTCGGTGCCAAACCTTTTAAATACCCACCAGTGGACTATGACTTTAAGTGCTTTAACGACTTTGGACATTTGTCATCAGATCAAAAAATTATTATACCCAGGTAAGCTTTACCAAAACTTGAAGATTTTATTCATATACCCGGTAGTATGCATTAGACATGATCATTTAACGTTATAAATAACTTAATCGTCATTGCTTAGAAGACAGTGACTGATAGAAATAAATAACATTGCAACAGAACACATCCCAAAAACTCAAGAATGCACAACTGCATTAGTATGATTGAGATTTGTTTTTTTTCCTTTCGACAGCCATGTTGACTTTGCAAGTTTAGTTTTACCATATTTATTTTAGCTTGACTATAATGAGAAACTTGAATCTGAGTTGAATCTGTTTCAAGTATAATTATGCTTCATGGATTACTTAGTTTTAGAGTTCTAATATAAAAAATGATGATAAATAGGGTTTGAACCCACATTCCCTGTGTTGAGAGAAAGACTCTTTAACCACTAGGTCAACTCTCCCTCTTTAGATTATTAAGTCTTGTGGTGATTTTACAACCTTTACTGATCAAAGCTGGGTTTGAGGTTATAAAGAAATTCTCTAAGCTCAAAATCAAGTCTGAGGTATTTGTTTGGCCAGAAACTACTACAAAATGTTCACTGACCAATTTAAATGCTGAGATTTGAGGCAGAACTCAGTAAAAAAGTTTATAACATCAAGGCCTGGTGTTCACTTCTTTACTTACTATGGAGTGTTTTTCTGGTGAAATCCTGGTTAATAAATTGCATATCTATATGCTTCTTATCTGTATTTCTTCTGTATTTTAACATAGTTTTGTTACATTGAAATTGTATTTTGATGATTTTACTGTGAAATTGGGATACGATTCATGGAGATTGTCTTCAATTTTAGAACAATGTGTTTGATTGAGGCTTTTGTGCTTTGAAGAGATCACTGTCTTCAGAATGTCAATGTTCAGTAATAGTTATAATTAAAAATGTGGATACATTAAACTGTATTTATTTCTTGTATTGCAGGCATCAAAAGTTAGCTGAGTTACGGAATGTACAAGTGAAGGAAGACTCTTGTACTCTCTGCTTTGATAATCAGGCTGATCTTATTTTAGAACCATGTGGTCATATGTAAGTATTGTACTTATCTTTTAAGACCATGTAATCTTATGTTAGTATTGTTCTTAATTTCTAAGACCATTTATTGTACTTAATTTCTAAGACCATGTGGTCATGTGGATATTATTTTGCTTAATTTCTAAGTCCGTATGAAAGTATGCTGAATTTTGAAGACCATATGGTGATATGGAAGTATTATTACACTTAGTTCCTAAATCATGTGTGTGGTGAAGTATATGTTTTACACTTAATTGTAAAACCAAATGGTCATGTGGAAGTATTAAACCAAGAACAGTGTGAATATTTAACACGGTATTCTTTATCTATGTGACTATGTTAATGAATATTCTTTATTCTAGGACCATATGATCATGTATGAATATTACATCCTTCAGCCTATTGTCAAATCAGGCACTCAAACATGGTATTAAATTATGGAAGATCCGCATTTGAATGTTAGAGTCTGTGTAGTATTCTAACACGATGTATTGTAATGAAAGTTGATTATGAGACTAGATTTGGCTAATTATATAATTATGAGATGCGATAAAATATAAAAAAAGGTTATTGCTTTTATATACACATGAATATTTCTTGCTTCTTATTCTTTTAGTGGTTTCTGCTCAACGTGTGCATTACAGTTGGAAATCTGTCCTATATGTCGACAGGAGATATTGGAACGTCGGGAATTGTCCGGATATCCGGGAAAAACATTTAGTGTAGTCTCTATGCCTGTAAGTGCTGTATCCAAAGACTCGACAAAAGACAGTGAAAATGTTAGCTATAACAATGCTATCGGAGCAAATCTTATGAAAGACATAGACCTTGATTCGAAAGACCGAACAAAACTGAAAAGTGTGAAATCGGGACGAGAGTTCAAAACCGGAATAGACAAAAATGAAGGTAAAAATAAATCGGTGACCAGTGTAGAGAGCAACTCAACTAAATCATTAGAATTTACAAATAATGGCGGAACAGAACTGTCAAAAGACACAAAATTAAATGTTGAAAATGACACGCATATAGATACTGGTTCAGACTCTGTTAGCTAGTGATAGGAATTGTTTTTTACTTTTTTAATCAGGGCGGTTTCGGTCCCTCGCACACTTTGTTTAAACTGTATTCAAAATACTGTTAAGACTAGAATCTGTGTTAAAGTATTTATTCTTACTTCTGCTATGTCTAATATATAAAATGTTTCCAAGCTTTACTGTAACCTTTTTACTGCTAGATATTTATTAAATCGTTCAAGGCTTTTCTTTTACTCATCAAGGTACATTGTTATTCAAAGCCTTTCTTTGTTGTTACTGGAAAATGAAATCATTTACCTACAACACAAGTCTGTTATTATTACAATGCATTTATGTTGGTTAGGTATAGGGAGACATTTTCTTGCATTTAGTTTCTTCCATGGTAAAATTTGGATTTTTGACATTTATTTTGTGACTTTAACATTTTTTTTGGTGACATAAACTTGTCAGGTTGTTGTTGTTTTTTTTGTCATTTATTTTTTGTTTGAAGGCTAGAAATTTTTATAGTGAAAGTTGATGAATTTAAAATCTAACATTATAAGGTTATAAAAATTCATTTATTTGACAACATTTAACTTTGTTACATATAGGTTTTTGTTATTTGACCTCAATATTTTCACATGACCTTGACATTACAGTTTAATCATATATGAAGTGCAGTGTATAAATATTTGTAACTCAAAACAAAATATCATTAATTCTACTTAACCCATTATGAAAAAAATATGATTTTTTATTTTGGCGAATTTCAAGAAGTATTTTACATATGATGTCAAATTTTTTGCACAGTGTATTATGGATTTGTTGATATAATTATATGAATAAATAACCATAGCAGAAAGTTATATCTACTGAAAAAGCGCAGTTTTAGCATGTAGTCTGCTAGATTAATTCTTCCCGGTGCTGGAACTAGAAGTGATTAGCCATTTGCCACCAGTATAGAGCCAGGCCAGTCTGCACATCCAAGCAGTCTGACCAGGTTTCATACTGTTGACTGAAACAACTACAAAATTTCATCTTGATTTACCCAAAATTGATAATGGTCAGTTCCAAAAATGAAAGAAGGGCAAGTCCATTTAAGAAACACAGCAGGTTTAACTAAACCCCTGCAGATGTGTTATTAAGCTTTATCTAAAGAAATATATATAAAAAAAATATTATAAATGGTAAATTTACATTGTTTCCATAATTTTCTGGTAGATTTTTAAAACAGTTGTTGCATAGATGTCTCATTTATTTTACACATATGACTATTAGATGCAATCATAATAAGAATGTTCTAGAACAAAATATTATGCTGCTTAGTAAGTAATGTTTTAACCGTCATGCAAAATATTTTCTGCATACACCATCTGCAATATAAAGGGAAATATACAAACCTATTTCTTTCACACAGGTATTTTTGGATTTACTTTTTTTTTTCAAAATTGAAACAATAATTTTAGCTAAAGATTACTATATGCTGTAGATATTTAGCTTTATACACTCAGAAAAAAATGGTACTTTTAACCGTACACTTGCAAGTGCCTGTTTTAAGGCTTTCACCTCTATAATGAAATTATTTATTTATTTAACATTTTATATGAAAAAAAAGTTGATATTTGTTTTCAAGTGTGAATGAAATATATGCAGCCATAGAGATAATAGAAAATAGGGTTACTATCTGACTGAGAGTCAACTTTATTGTTCAATTTTATGTTGTATTTTACCATTATTACATAGTGGATAAAAAGTAACCATGAATTTAAATATTTTGTCAACAGACATAATAAATATTAGCAAAAATACATAAATTTACATAGGCAATTTAGGATTATAAACACAAATTTTGTGTTGGGTTGGGTATATATTTTTTTAGCATTTTTCAATTTCACTTTTGTTCATATTCATTGTTAACACTAGATACCATCTTTAGCTTAAACCAAATGCTTTTGTGCCATAATTTTAGTTCCAACTAGCCTTTGCTCTAGTATCTTCAGCCTAAATATGGTAGAATGTTAAGTTAGCAGGAATTCCCTCCCCTGATAATATGTTTTCAGTTTATAAGGGATTACCTCCCCTGGTGTATGTATTTGCAGTTAGCAGGAATGATCTCCCTTGATGATTGTGTTTTCAGTTAGCAGGACTTATCTCCCCTGATATCACACTATTACCTATGGCACTATTGTAGCACCAGGTCAGCCTGCACAACAAGGAGGTCTGTCAAGATTTTACTCAGAATTATACTACTAAAATCAATTGGGGCGTCCTGGGACCGAGTAGTTAAGGTCGTTGACTTCAAACCCCTTGCCACTCACCGCTGTGGGTTTGAATCCTGACAGGGACTTTGGATTCTTTCATATGAGAAAGCTATCCAGCCTGAAATAATGCACGGAAGGGCATCTGAGGTCTTCCTCCACCAGTAAAGCTGGAACGTCGTCATATAACCTATAATGTGTCAGTGTGAGATAAAACTCAATTGAACAAACAAACAAACTAAAATCAATTAAATTACTTTGTGAAATTTTTAACCAGACTTTCACATCAATTAAAAAATATATTTTTCAGTTACTGAACTTTTGTAGTAATTCATATTTTCTTTACATATGTGAATGAAATAGACCTATTTCCATGAAACTTCTATTTATTCTGCTTGATTACTTACTGGTCCATATTTAATTTCTTGAGTTTTGACCGCTAAAATTAATGCTAATTATGATAAGATTGGGAAGTCTGGCATCATCTTCATGAAAGTGTTTAAGCCACTCATGAAAATATATCATTTACTGAAATAAAGAACCATCTTATAGCTTAGATGCACACTTGTTCAAATACTGCATTTCTTTAACATGAAATAAATTGAACTGGTAATTTTTGGTCTCTGAAAACTATATTACTATTTTAATTGTAGCTATATCTCTTACGAAAGAAAAGAAATTTACATGTTTAACAATCAGTCAGGGTCTTTTTGTTTAAGGTTTTTTTATTGCTCTTCATCTGAAAGAATTCCTGTTCACTATCAAATCTACAATCTCTTGTTGCTGGGTGGTTATGATGAAATCTTGAAATGTAGATGAGTTTTTTGTGTGTTTTTTTTTTAGAACAAGGGTCTCTCAGTTTGGACACACTGTGTATTGTTGTCATTATTGTAATAAGTTTTATGTTTTTGTTAAGTTTTGTTAGTGTTAAATGCTATGTTTATTTATTTTTTAATCTTGCGTTAAAAACATGACATATCTGTTTCAGTTATACATTAAATTTAGTCACTTTATGTGTGTTGCATTTCTCAAAATGTAGGACCAGTCCAGAATCAGAACCCTCCCATTGGTCAGTTTTGAATATGTGTTTTGAATCAACCAATCACATGCAAGAGATTTAAGACTGGAATACAATTTTAAATGTGAATTACCTTTGAACTTGGATGAAGTTTTTGTCTTTTCAAATAATAGGCATAAATAAATGATAGGAAAAAATATCATACATATAAATTTGTGTCTTGGAATTTAACTCTAAGACTATTGGTGGCAACCGCTTCTATCCATATTTCCAAGACCAAGATTAGCTGACATACTGGTTTGTCTGATATAAAGTTATTATACATTGTTGAGTCAAATACTGAATTTTATTGGATGAGTACACAGATGTCAAAACTATATTGGACAAGGTCCTAGCTGAGTCTGATATAGGTTTTTCAGCTGCGTACAAGTCCAGTAGAATCAGTATTGTTCTCAACCATGTTAAATGACCTTTAGTTCACATCACCATTTATTAACATTTTAATAGAACTTTGTTATTTCAGTTACATTAAGTGGGTTTGATATGGATTTTGGACACTCAAAAAAATGAAATAGAAGGGGTGCGATATGACTTTGATATGAACCTTTTGGACACTGGAAATTAAAACCAGGCTATATTTGGTGACATATGAATTTGTTATGAACTTTTTGAACACTTGAAATGAAAACCAGACTACATAGTTGTCATATTTATTTGATATCACCAATTTGGACTCTAGAAATTAGAACAAGGCAATAAGGGGCATTATATGGATTTGATGTGGACTTTCTAAACTCTGGAAATGAAAATGAGGCTAAATTCCAAAATGATTTTATTGGAACATATGTTGTGCAATCGCTGAAAATGCATTGGTTATATTTTATAAGGTGTGGAATAATGGTCTGTACTGTTTGCTACTCAGTCAGTACATGTTTTGAAATTTTCCCTATAAGATGAATAGTTTTGTCCAGATTGATAGATGGACAAGTCCATTTTAATATTTATTAAAGTGATGATGATGTAAAATTGGGAAAACTTGAAATAACATTAATAAAAGCTAATCACTTAATATTAACAAAATAATCTTGTCAAAATTTGTAAAACGGAACATTTGTAAAAGATTTTTTTAGTTCATCTTTTATTACGGTATGTTAGCTTATTGTGCTATCTATTGCTTATCTAAAATGTGTTTAGAATATTAACTAAGATTTTGAAAATGACAAGTATTCCTGCACATCTTGGTACTGTAATTTGAGAATGAGATATTGATTTATTTTTAACCATTTACTGTAATTAAAATATGTTGTATTTTAGCATATTTGAATAACATATTGTTATATTCAACATCTGTCTCTATATAAACAAAAATTTGAGCCGCGTCACGACAAAACCAACATAATGGGTTTGCGACCAGCATGGATCCAGACCAGCCTGGGCATCCGCGCAGTCTGATCAGGATCCATGCTGTTCGCTTACAGACCCTATAACAAGTAAGGAAACTGATAGCGCACAGCATGGATCCTGATCAGACTGCGCGGATGCGCAGGCTGGTCTGGATCCATGCAGGTTGCAAACCCATTATGTTGGTTTTGTCATGACACGGCTCAAATTAATGTAATATGAAATTCATTTTGTGTCTTTCAAATTTGGTAAAATAGAGCTAGTCTACATATAGTTATAATGCAGTGTATGATATTAGAAATATGTACCTTTTTCAGTCTGAGAATTTATGAAAATAATTGCAATGTATAAAAAAAAAGGTATGGCATTTCCAATGAATCTATGAATACCTGTTTGTAAAGCATCTGACTTTGTGGATGTATTTCTTAATCTTACCCTTTGAATTTTAACAGAAATATTAAAAGATTTATACCCTTTGTTTGGAACATCAAATTAATAATTATCAGTTCAAAATTCAAAGCAGATCACATCCATTTAAAAAATCAAGGACAATTAGGGTAAAATAAACAGTTTTCCATACATATTTCTGCATATACTTTTTGCCATATCTTTATAAGAAGTTAGAGGCATTATTCATTTTGAAAGGACGCTGTTTCATGTAAATTTCCTATTATTTCTGTAGAATGATCTGTCTTACATTGTCCATCTGTTCTGTGTTTTTCTATGATATATATGGTTTTCTATCAGCTGATCATTATACAGTATCTGATTGGCTAATATACATTTCAAAGATGCATCTGATTGGATGATTTACTTTTAAGATGACCAATGGCAGAATTGCATTTTAAACCCTCAAATTAAATGGGGTAGATATACGAGTATATATATATACATTGTACATGTATATATTTTTTTTCATTGTAAACACATAGTCTTCCTACCTATAAAGAATATTGTTTTTGTTAATTTTCTAAATGTTAGTAGAGATTATGACTTTACTTGCCTTCACCTAACCTTTTTTATTTTAGCCTTTTACCTTCTTAATTTATGTAAGGTATTTGCGCTCCTTAGAATTTCGAACAGTCCATGTAAAGTTTCAAGGGATTTCAATATCAATATACAAAAATTAAACTTCCATCAGTGAAGCCTGCCAAAATGGCTCTGCACCATTGGTAAAGGCTAATTGATTTGGTCCCAGCAAGTTAATGGTTAAATATCCCTTAAATTGACAATGGATCTTTCCAAACTTAAGTAGGATGAGCCTATGTCACAATTAATCAGTGAAGGTTAATAAGGGAAAAACAGATCTATTTTAAATTATTGAAATGGACAATTTTGTTAAAAATATGTACATGAATAAGAAAATCTTCCAATTTTAATTTACATTTTTCAGGCTTATATACAACTCACAGATGAAAATGTTCACTATTTATATATAATGTCTGTGCCGTTATGTTAACAAATTTACTTGAAATGTAATAAGTAAAATATTTTACAATATGATATTTGTGTTCATTTGTTCTTTCTCCTCAGAGTGATACAAAAAAGGGTGAAATGTTACACCAGATGTAATAATTGAAAAAAATAATTGTGGCAAAAGGCTTGTGCTATTTTAAGGACTTGTCAAAGGATTTGCCTTTCCTACTAAACAAGTTGATATGCACCAGTTTGAATATAATGTAAATTGCAGTATTCACTGTTTCAGTTGACATGATTCAAGTTGCAATACTTATGAAACTTATTGATATTACACTGTTGAAAGGCTCTTTTCATATACATATTGATAAGGTAATAGAGCAAAACTAAATACCAAAACTTGATATGACATAGAAAATTTGACTTGCTCGTTGATATGTCACATTCTAACACTCACGTGATTTTGTCACTATAGACAAAGAAGGAAAAAAACTGGTGTTAAACTGCCAATAAACACCGGTTAGGGACTACTTGTATATATGCGCTGATATGTTTTCACCCTCGATTGTATAGTTTACAAAGCATTTTAAAGCAACAATAAAAAGCATTTTTATTTATATTTTCAGTTCGTATAATGTTTTCTTTTCATACAATACCGAAATAATATCCCACATACACTAACACCGCATATTAGATACATATCAGTTAATAAACATTTTGACAAAACGGCGCCAATCCGTAAGGAGCGTAGTGACGTCATACTAAGTAAACAACTCATTCATTAAACAAGCTGACGTTATTTCATACAGACAAGAATGATAAACGGGATACTGATGTAAACACAATACGACGTAAGTTTTTATTGTTGAAAACATGATAAAATAACGTTTTTTTTTTATTATTTCTTTTGTTTAATAATTTCTATATCTTCGCAACAGTAGGGTGCGAAAATCGAACAGCGTTATACGAAAATCGGCACCGGAAGTTATTTCCGCTTGAAAAATAACATTAGTCAGTTTCCTTATTTCATCGTGTTAGAATCGAAATAACATCTGCCTGAGAGGTGTATATCGGCTATTTAACACCGGTATTGTCGTTTTGATGCGACAAAATTAACCACTCAGGCCTACGGCCTTCGTGGTCAATTCCTACGCATCAAAACTCCAAACCGGTGTTAAATAGCCGATATACACCTCTCAGGCAGATGTTATTTCTTAATTATGTAACACTAGAGGTTGGTATCAATGTCCACTTTAATATTGAGAACACTTAAAATCCTAATTGAATTGACACAAAGAGCAATACTTGACATAACTATCTACTGACAAGGTGCAATACCCGAAATAGTTGTGTATTGACAGGGACAGTATGTGACATTAATATATATTGACAAGGTGCAATACTTGGTATGGATATATATTGACATGGTACAATACTTGACATAGTTATCTGTTAACAAAGTGCAATACTTGAAGAAGTAATCTATTGAAAAGGTACAATACTTGACCTAGTTATCTATTGAAGGTGCAATACTTGAGACATAGTTATCTGTTAACAAGGTGCAGTACTGGGCCCAAAGTTGCAATACTTGACCTACTGATGTATTGATAAAGTGCAATACTTTACATAGTTATGTGTAAACAAGATGCAATGCAAATGTACTTGACATAGTGATCTATTGACAATTTGCAATACTTAACATATGTTACATTGAATATAAAAGAATGTGAAATACTTTCAGATGATACATAGTACTGTTAATATGTGATGTTTAAGAAATAACATCGGCCTGAGAGGTGTATATCGGCTATTTAACACCGGTTTGGAGTTTTGATGCGTAGGAATTGACCACAAAGGCCGTAGGCCTGAGTGGTTAATTTTGTCGCATCAAAACGACAAAACCGGTGTTAAATAGCCGATATACACCTCTCAGGCCGATGTTATTTCGATTCTAACATTATAAAATAAGGAAAATCACTAATGTTATTTTTCAAGCGGAAATAACTTCCGGTGCCGATTTTCGTATAACGCTGTTCGATTTTCGCACCCTACTGTTGCGAAGATATAGAAATTATCAAACAAAAGAAATAATAATAAAAAACGTTATTTTATCAAGTTTTCAACAATAAAAACTTACGTCGTATTGTGTTTACATCAGGGCCCCATTTATCATTCTTGTACGTATGAAATAACGTCAGCTTGTTTATGAATGAGTTGTTTACTTACGATGACGTCATTACGCTGCTTACGGATTGGCGCCGTTTTGTCAAAATATTTATTAACTGATATGGATCTAATATGTGGCGTTAGTGTATTTGAGATATTATTTCGGTATTGTATGAAAAGGAAACATTATACGAACTGAAAATATGAATAAAAATGCTTTTTATTGTTGCTTTAAAATGCTTTGTAAACTATACAATCGAGGGTGAAAACATAACAGCGCATATACAAGTAGTCCCTAACCGGTGTTTATTGGCAGTTTAACACCAGTTTTTTCCCTTCTTTGTCTATAGTGACAAAATCACGTGAGTGTTAGAATTTGAAATATATCAATGAAATTTACAAGTATAAAAGATAAGTTTAGTTTGCCAAATTTATAGAAAGCGTATACGTAAGCTGTATTTAGGATTTATTTACAGTAAATTTAAATGATTCTTTTAAAGTGAATCGTTACTAATCTGAGGCAAATCATTATGGGTCGGATTGTCAGTGGGGCGAATTGTTTACCTACAAAAATTTGGTGGCTTAATGCCGTTACCTCCGTGTTCCGTAGTATTATCACGTGACAAGTTGATAAAATATGGTCGCCATTTTGTAGCCGCGATTGAACAGGAACTCAAATGTCATTTCGAGAACACTTTTTTGTTTAACAAAGGTAATAAACAACAAGTGGTTTAAAAGATATTTCATACAGTTGTATTTTTGAAAAGTCTTTTAACTTGATTTAAATTGTCTCTAAATTCATTCATAGTGTGTTTTGACGATATGTTCCGATCTGGTGGTTGTTTCGTACGACACAACTTTCAGTTTCGTTTTATTTTGATATTAGACTAGATTGACTATGTTAACATGCCAGTTTATTAGATGAACAGGTGTGCTAAATAAATTGTTCCTTTCTCAGTTCACGAGGCAAAAGTATGTACGATTTAATCTGACAGTCATTAGAATATTTAACACCAACTTTTTTGTGACACATTTTATTTTGACAAAGCGAATTAGCCCAGGGCTATACTGGTCAGGGACCATCAACCGGACACTTTTTGAACATTTTTCTATACAAATTTCATAATTTTAAAGCTAGAGGTACAAAAATTTGACACAGTACAGCTAGGTTCTTCTCCTAACTTACAAACTAGTTTGTTTAGTTCTGATTATGTTGACGCTTGTATCTGAGGCCCATCAAGGAGGGTATCAAAATTACCTAAATTGTACATACTACAGTACCATGTGTCCGGACAGACATGTAATAACGTTGATTAAATTCAGATAAACGCTTTGGTGTTCTTTTTTTTATTTTTAACATGACATACAATATTTCAGCAGCAAATGCTGAAATATTGAATATTCTATTGTTAACTTTGCAAATTATTATTGCTGTTATATGATGTCAGGCATTGCTTTCTTGACCCCCAAATTTCAACGTCAACATTCTTGAAATAGACATTAAAATATTACCATTTACGGAGGTTAAAATAAATAAATTTACTTAATTTTAGAAGAAACATGCATTTAATGTTGATAAAAAGTGACTGAAAACCACTGAACAAAGAAAATTCTAAATCAAGCATTTTCGGGGCCGTCCGGGTTTGGTGGTTGTCCGGTTTTGGTGGTCCCCAACCAGTACCCATTATAATTTAAAGATTTTGCCAAAATGCGCAATGACAGAAGATGCTCAACTTTGGATTATCAAGTGAATTTTTGTGTGGTAGAGCATCAGTTCTAGCTAATTCCTGAGGTCATATCTTGAAGTGTGGGGATCTTGGGTACTGTATCCAGTATTTAATATCAGGCTACCATAAATTTAAGAACGAAAAGGACTCATACTGATTAAGACACCTAGAAACAAGTTGTCTGAAGAGACTTATATGTTCTTAAAAAAACGTTTGATGAAAAAACCAAACACTTGTTGAAGATTTTTTTTTCTATTTTAGTGTGTCAAAGATGCCCCTGGACACATTTATTTGTGGGACCTGCATGGTTTCATTAAACGATATTGAACAATTCATTCTTCACAAAAATGAATTATGTTCAAAATCTGCAACCAGTCAGGAGGGTAACCAAACAATGGAGGCTGGAGCAACCACACAAGTCAATGAAGTAACTAATCTGGTCCACATACCCTCTTCCGAGGACATGACCATGGGTATATTCTTAATGAATAACTGGTCTCTACTCTAATCTAGTTAAAATTGCATTTTCACAAATTAATTTAAAAGGGATAAATTTATTTTCCATCATTTTAAAACATATCCAGGGTCAAGCTGGATTGAAATTGTCTTTGTGTTACATTTATGATTAAAATTTTGAAAAGCCAAATAAGTTGAAAAAAGAAACCCTCATAGTTTTCTTTAAAGAGACAGTAACCTAAGAAATAAATGACCTTGATCATTGGCTTTACTAATAGACAGTTTTGTCTTGTATTATGAATTGGAGAAAATGTTGAGTACTTTACACTTTAAGCAGCTTTACTGATGGATTATGTTTCAATTATTCCTCTTGGCATTATTTAAGGCGCAAATTTGCACCTTAATCTTACTGGTTATATTCAGTAATCTTTATCAACTCTAAGTTCCTGATCAGATTGATTCTGTCATTCAAATTCACAGCTACGAGGGATTTTAATGTATATTGTTACTACTTGAATCATCAATATTGAATAAAATACAACAAAAGAATGTTTATGGCTGTAAGATTTTAAATCATTATTGTATGTATCTTTTTCAGCTGTGACTGATGAACATGGTAATGTGGTCAGTACAGCAGTAACTTTGCCAGGATCTGAATCCCTTCTTGCCAACACTGGCACCATCTTCCAGGTTTGTTTTTCTATACTAATATTCAGTTATTGCAGTATTTTCTTATATTTTACTTTTAGCTCAATATACCTATAGGCCTGTATCTCTCTTCAAATAGTACTTAATATAAGTTAGTCTGCGAATTAAGTAGTAGCCTGCTAGCCCCTGGCTAGTAGAATTTGGGTCAGTCCCATAAATTTGGCAGGTCACTTACCAAACTGGCTTCAGTTTAGATGTAGTGAAACAGACTTTATTAAATTTGAACTTACGAAGTCTTTAGTTTTATGGTTCAGTTATCTTCTTTATATTTATAGTGTGTTTTATTTCAAAGGGAGAAAATCAGCAAACAGTTATCATTTTACAAGGAGATTTACCTACCTTTAACCTGGAAAATGCTGAACAAATATTCACTGAAGTTAAACAAGATAAAGCTAATGTGGAAATGTTAGCAGGTAATTGATATATTGTCAGCAAATTCAGCTCTAAATTGTTGTCTGACCAACTGTCAATTCTATCTTCATATCCCTAAAATTGATAATGGACAGTTCTAAAAATTGAAGGTGGACTAGTCCATTTAAGAAATTAAGTAGGTTATGGGTAGATACTTTTATTTCTGTCAACTGGAAAATTTTAAGCTCCACTACAGTACTCCTCCACATTCATGCTAATTTTTATGAAATTTTGAAAGTGTTCTAAAAAGTACAAGTATTGTCAAGTGCACAAGTAAATTGAGCCGCGTCACGACAAAACCAACATAATGGGTTTGCGCCCAGCATGGATCCAGACCAGCCTGCGCATCCGCGCAGTCTGATCAGGATCCATACTGTTTGCTATCAGTTTCTCTACTTGTAATACTTATAGAGTTAGTAACGAACAGCATCGATCCTGATCAGATGCGCAGGCTGGTCTGGATCCATGCTGGTCGCAAACGCACTATGTTGGTTATGTCATGACGCGGCTCAAATATTTTAACCCAGCCTTAGCCCCGAAAAATGCCTATATCATGTCCAAATATGCAAAAAATGGCTCTTGTTCCATGTATTGTGAATAATAGAATGTTACTTAACTCTTAATAAACATGTAACTTACCTCTAAGCTTGTTAGAGTTGACCAAATTTAGCTGTGAAATCATTGCAAACCAAGATCAGCTGGCATATCTTGGCTGTTTGATCATGGTTTGCAATGTTTGCTGTTCAGCCAGTGCTTATTTCGAATATTAATTTTCCCCAAAAAATGAAGAAAACTTTTTATCCAGATATAATGATAGACTAGTTTAAGAAATATAGTGAGAATATAGGTATGAGTAGCACGGAGGAAGGTAGTCTAGTACTGGTGTAACTCTCCAGGAACGATGGTTAGGAAACTACCCGCCTATATGACTGAAATACTGTTGGAAAAAGGCGTAAAATGAAACAAACAAACAAACAAAAGTTAAGTTTGATTTCAAAAATAAAGTTTTTTGCTACTCTGGATGTATGCAGCTTTGATACTGTAGTTTTTAACAAAACCAGACTTAAAGGAAGAAAATCATCTCCATGGTTTGGTTTATTAACCTTCATGAGATAAACTTAAATCTTTTACAACCTTAGTCTGCTGTTGACAAATTATTTTACCTGTGCAAACAGTGCAGACGTATATGTGCCATCAGGTCATGGTCAGCACTTCTCAGTCCGTACTTTCAAATTTACCGAAAAAAAAATTAATTGTTTTACTTCAGATTGAAAAAGGGGCAAGTCCATTAAAATGTTTAGCATGAGAAGGGTTAATTAAGTTTGTTGTTCTATTTTAAGGCTTGTACAAGAAGAGAGGCAGAGCAGGGAGACCAAAAAAAGTTAAATCAGAACCAAAAGTATCAGTAGTGGAAACCAAAGAGAAAAATATACCAGAAATTGGTACAGTTTATATTCATTTAGTAAATGACAAAATGAACATGTGATTATGTGTTCTGAGCTTACTTTAATGAATGGTAATGAGAATTCCTGCACTGTATAGGTTGAACATTTATATAATAATTTTATTTCATATGCTTTGCTGTTTAAGGAAAAATTTTGGCTATCCTACTCCCTATCAGCCAATCAACAGCTGGCTTTAAAATTTTCAAAAGTTATTTTTAACTGATGGGAAACCTTAATTGCTTCCATCATATTCATTATATCAAGATTTTACTGACAAACAAAAATAGCGGTACCCATGCTTTATGTGAAAATAATGTTATGAAAGTATCTAATTATCATAGAAAGTACATTCAAAAGTTTATTATATGAGCCACGTCACGACAAAACCAACATAATGCGTTTGCGACCAGCATGGATCCAGACCAGCCTGCACATCCGCGCAGTCTGGTCAGGATCCATGCTGTTCGCTATCAGTTTCTCTACTTGTAATAAGGTTGGTATACGAACAGCATGGATCCTGATTAGACTGTGCAGATGCGCAGGCTGGTCTGGATCCATGCTGGTCGCAAACGCATTATGTTGGTTTTGTCGTGGCGTGGCTCATATGTGTTTCAGAACCTTCAAATAGTCTGTCTCATAGCTTTTGTTTGCTGACCTGAACACAAAGCAATAATAAAAACCAATATTTTAAGGGTGGCTCTATGTAATTGATTTATTTTACATTCATACAGGTGAAGATGGGAAGTTACTGTGCACACGCTGTAAGAAATGGTTCTCTAGGGAGAGGGTATTTAATGCCCATAAATGTGCTGCACTGTCGGAATATCTAGATTTTACTGTAAAAGACGGCCTAACAACAGACCCAGGTAAATATTCTTTACTTTTGTAGCAGTTTTGAAGTAGTATTATCCCCTAAGCTGTGGAGAAGAGATGATCTGATTTTATTGATACAATGATTTATCATGATTATTGCTTTCATGATACAATAAGATGATACAATGCTGAGGTGTTCTCTGTTACTTATCTATAGCATAAAATGTCAGATGGCTTCTTTATGTGGGGGAAAAACATTACTCCCACGCAGGATTCGCAGCCTAGAAAAATTCAAACATAAGATGGTCAGTGGGTATGCATAACAGATAATTGCAGTTGGATTTAGTTGTTAAAGGAATAGAAAGTAATATCAGGGGATTGGATCAGACTTTTAAAAAAATTTAAGTGATATACAGTGTACATGTATTTTCACCATGGGTCAGTCTGGTCAATTATAATTCATTGTTGATAAGCCTTGAATAAACTTATTTTATATTTGTCTTTTTCTTTTCAAGATGATAACCATATGCCGCAGGATGATCTTGACGATGCTGGCGCGCTGGATTTAGACTTTAAAGATTCGGAATACAAAATGCCTCCAATGCTGTTTAAAAAACATCATCACGGTAAATACAAACGCAGAAAAATCTCCACTGATCTTGACGCAGAAAGCGTAACTAGTCAACCTGGTGAAGGAAATGCTGTGAAGTCGGAGGTATTGTCTGAAGCTGGTGGTCAGAAAGGTGTTATTGAAGGATCATCAGAGTCGGAGAATGCAGCATTGATAGGGGACGCTGTGCCGATAATATCTGCAGATGGAAACGTTTCATTTTATACTGGTTCACAAGATGGTCAGGATGAGTCCTCTTTCGGTCAAGTACCAGTCTGTCAGGTAATTTCAATATGAATTAAAACAGCAAACAACAATAAATAAGTAAAGTTATTATTCTTGAAAAGTTTGAATAAAACATTGGAACACAAGAGAATGCAAAAATATACAAGGACTACTGAATATAATTTAGCTTATTATTTTATGGCTTAAAAGTGTTACTATATCATTGTTTCATGAAATTGGATGTAGTTATTATAAATGAAATTTTCAGTAAAATTAAACACGGGTTTGAAAGTAATTCCATGTAATTGTCTTGTAAATAGGTCAAAGGAGGTCCTGACATAGATGAGAGCCACGTGAAAGACACTGATCAGATCGGAACCCTTCCTCTCGACCTCTCTGAAGAAGAGAAGTGTGCCTTCGAGGCAGCACTGAATGTGGACCTGAGTGGTGTGGATGGCATGTTCCGAGTGCATTGTATAGAACAAGAACTAAATTCAAACGTGTCACAGTTATCTAGATTTTCATCTAACACGCTGTCATTGTACTCGTGCAATACCTGTGACAAGGTGTTCAAGTCGTTGTCACATATGAGATTCCATGTGCTTATTCATACTGAGTTGAGACCATTTAAATGTATTAAATGTAACTACACATCAAATGCAAGAGGTAAGTAAAGTTAACAGATTTGTATTCTAATAATCTTGTACTGACTAATGTGGGTTGGATCCTACTAGGCTTTTTGGATTCTTTCATGTGTAAAATCTACGCAGCTAGTTTTTGGAAGGTAGAGAGGTTCTATTCTTGAATGAACGTCTTTCTGACCTTAAGTATTCCACCAGCAGGTAAGCTGCAGTAAGATGACCCAGTACATCCTTTCCAGTACATGTATTTGTGTGACTTCAAACCGAAACAAGTAAATTAAATCACATGGAAACTTACTCCAACTAGAACATGGAAGAAGATAGTGATTCTACTTACATTCACACATTTGCCTGAAATAATGAATTGAAAGCCATCCGCCTTTTAGTGAAGCTGATATTTTACTGCTTTACGTTAAATGTGTTGCTTTGACTTAAACTTTCAACTGTTGAAAAAAAAATATTTCTTTGGCCATCCATACACAGTTACCTTTTTTGACAGATATCATAGCATAATTTTATGAATCATGCAATTTTCACATTACAAAACCTGACTTTGTTTCAGGTAATTTGTATACACATATTCGGAAGCACACTGGCCAGTATTATAAATGTGATCAGTCAGGGTGTAAGTTTAGGACTGTCAACAAGAGTCATCTCATTGAGCATGCCATGATTCACAATGGTGAGAAACACCAGTGTGAGCTGTGTAGGAAGTTGTATAACACACAGAAATCTCTGATGAGTCACATAAGAAAATACCATGACAACCTTAAAGGTAAGTAGTTTGTTACTGTAACATGCTTTTTTCCACAAAGTTTTGGGGCCGAATGAGGAACAGAAATATTAAACTATGATACTTAATACTTTATTACAGTCTATATCATGCAGTAAAATTTCAAAAATTTGATGGTCATACTAAGTTGACCTTAAAGCCCTGGAATAATGGACAGAGGTGCACTAGTATAGTTTTGTCTTATGTGAAGTCTAAAAATTCTCATGAGACACCAATAATGGTTTGAATGATTTGTTAAATCCACAACAAAATTTGTTTCCATGTAAATGTGCAACATTATTTACAAACATTTTTGAGAGTAATTTTCTTGCAGTGTAGGTATATCTATTTTCCTTATGTAATTATTAGCGATATCCCATGCAGTCTGACAATACTCTATATCCCTATATAGTACTATTCAATTCATTTATGATTTCCTATTGATTTTCCTCAAATCAGCAGTATAGACAGTTCCATTTTCATTGGAGTACACTTCCATAATGTATTTTAAATGTAATTTTATGGACATTTTTATGGTGATTTTTATGATTGAAAGAAAAGAAATATTTCTTAGTTCAAACTTGTTTTCTATTCAGGAAGGGAATATCTGTCAACATTCATGCAAGGTCGTGACATACGTGGATCAACAGTGATTCACCAGTGTCACGTCTGTAACCGGAAGTTCAAGAAGAAGACGGATCGTGACAGACATTTGTTTGTTCACGATATAAAAGATCTGCCTGTCATAAAACATTGTGACCTGTGTGACTACTCGGCAGCTAGAAACAAGTACCTAGAGAAACATTTCCAAAAACACAGAAATATTTATAGGTGTGTACTAGCTTTCTATGTACTTCAAAGATTGATAGGGAAAAAGTTAAAGAGCTTATTTATATCACTCTGAAGTCTTCTTTCTGGACGTTTTGATATCCAGGTAAATTTGATGAAGTCTTCTTCCCTGACTTACCAGTAATGATGTGTAATATGGGTAAAGTTTGTGAAGTCTTTTATGGAATCCATTTTAAAAACTGACAGTTTTTTAGCCAACACTCTAAATTTCTTAGGCACTACATGTTATGGGAATAATTATTAAAATGTTAAGTGAGTCTTTATTTTGCTTATTATTCAGGTGCTGTAAATGTAAAGAAATGTTCCTTAGCTCAATAAAGCTGGTAGAGCATCTAACATCAAATCACGTTGATACAACTGACACGGAGTCATGGGAGAAGTTATTTGAGGAAAGTATAATGAATAGCTTGTACCTGCCCGAACCAGATCAGATAATGTCCGAGGAGGAGAAAAGTCTGGTCAACCTGCCATCAGAACTCTCTGAATCCAGTATATACCAGGTTAGAGGGGTTTTATATGTCTTATTAAGTATGAATTACGGTAGGGATTGAAACAGATACTGAAATCAGTATTTGAATATTCATTTTGCCATAGAATAGGGTCATATAGATTTTGAAAGACCCTGTCTAGATTGATCAAATTCAATGACATAAAATTTGGCAAAAACATGTTTGAAAAAGAATATTCAAATCGGTATTTCAGATTCAAATACAAACGTGTATTCAGCCTATTTTTTTATTCATTTCCATCCCTTGTATAAATGCTTTAGTTATTATTAAGTTAATATTCAGTCATATTCCGTCAATTATGTGATTGAAACTACACGACATTGACTCTGTTTTATGGATACATAGTTGATGCTCTTATTCTGCCAATACAAAACAGTGTTACAAAGCTCTTAGAGTAAGATATCACCTGGAAATATCAAAACTTTACAATAGATACCCTATAAAAACTTTAAATTTGTTATAAATTTTCTGACCTCTGACCGGATACTTAAGCCCCTCCCACTCTGGGTTTGAATCCTGTCATATGAGGAAGCTATCCAGCTAGTTTATGGAAGATTAGTGGTATTACTAGGTGTCAGCTTGTGACTGAAAAAATGAACAAAGTGGCACCTAAGGTCTTCCTACACCAGTAAAGCAGTTTAGTCCCTATATGACCATTACAGTGTCGGTTTGGCTTCAAAATCCAACAAAAACAAAACAAACAATTATTTTTACAATCTTCAGCTGAAGTTACAGAACTCTGGGGAAGATGAACTAGCCAGCAAGTTAATTGATGGTGCTGATGTGTTCATTAATAAAGTACCTGCTGTAACAGTGGAGGAAAATAATACTGGTAATTGTTGTACATATAGTTTGTTTAAAGGCACATTATGCCTCAGAAATCAATAAAAAAAATTAATTCCTTTGGAAGGTCAGATATCTGTTTAATAATACTTTGATAATGCATTTAGAACATTTAGATGTGTAACAGCTCCAGAAGGTAGTGTTGAATGTGCATGTGTGGTAAAGATAGCAAATGTAAATTACGAAGTATTTTGACTTTTTTACAAAATACTAAATCACTATATTATATCATTATACCAATTGCCAAAGGGCAAAAGACATATTTATGGCCAATGAATAATTTTTTGGAACCTGCAACTAGATCCCAAAAATAAAAAGGTTTTTGAGATATATAAAAATGAAAGCCTTTAAAGGGACTCCACTGAGGTTTAAAAGCCTAAAATATAACATTTGAATTTCTTACATGAATAAGCTGGAGCACTTTAAACAGAAATATATGCAAAGATAGTTAAGAAATATACTTTGAAATGAATTAAAAATTGTATTTTATGCTTTTCTTAGCCAAATTTGAGTGAAAAGCATTTAACGCTTTTCAATTAAGGTCAATTTTTACAATTTGAGTAATTATTCTGGAAAACATAGAGCGCGAATGATCTGAAACTTAATACAAAGATTAGTGGTCTAAGCCTACATCAAATGGTATATTTATCTGGAATAAATATTTTCAGTCCCATCATATCAAAAAACCTCAGTGGAGTCCCTTTAATGGGCCTTCAATATTTCTTTTAGAGCGACACAAATTCTGACCATACTTTAAAAAGGGATATTAGTAGACGTTATCCGGAACTTGGCAAATTGGGTTTTTCCCAGCTAATCTGTAGGTACAAACTAACTTACTGTTAAAGCTTCCATTGCACTACCGTCACAATATATTAACCAATCTGTTTCGCTTGTTTTCAAAGCTGTAACTGTTAAAGTTTGTTTGTACCTGCGTTATTATCTGGGAAAAAATCCAAATATTCTTAATTCAGGAGTTAGTCTATTCCTTTGGTATGATTTCAGCAGAAATATTCATGTACCTTTTTTTAAAATAGAAAATTTAAACGGAAAGTTTGTTGTCTATTAATTTTGTCATTGCAAGTATTCTAGTATGAGCAAATCTCATTTTCAGAAGAGAAGACGGGTTTACCTGTAGAGACTGTTAACAACCTTGATACATATGTAGAAGTGGAAAATGCTGGTTCTGAAGCTAACAATGAGGTTATTGAAGAAACAAATGATGCCAGTTATGTTGCTGAAGAAACCGATGCTGAAATTAAAACCAATACTGATATTGATGAAGAAAATAAATCAGAAATTGAGCCGCTTGAAAATGTTGATGGTGAACCAGAAGTGACAGGTGACCAGGAAAAGGTCATTGACTCAGGAGAGGTTGTTGAAAAATCGGACACTGACATTCTAAATGAAGCTGCTGAAAGTGCTACAACGGCTGTCGTTGAAGAGACTAATCTGACTGAAGAAGATATTTTAGGTATACCAGGCAATACGTCAAACTGTTCGGCTTTGATTGAGAAACTTGGCTATTTGCCAATGACACTGGAAATATTTCAGAAGATGCGTGACACATTTGGTTCAGAAGAGTGCGAATATTGTGGACGACTATTTTTCAGTAGGGCTGATTATGAACCTCATGTTAGAACACACACAGGTGAGCTCAAGTTTTATACTCCCAGAAGTTTTCATTCCTTCCATTGTTCTTATGTTTCTCATAGCATTTTCTTCTGATCATTATGTGGACTTTTAGTCTAAGTCAATTGTGACTAGATCAAAGTCACATTGTAATTGATATAAAGACATGTGTTATTTTCATGAATCACACATGTGAAATTTGAAACTACTTTCTTAAGATCTGTCAATTATAAGCCAACAAATACACAAAGTGGATTTCATAAAGTTTATGGTTACTTTGCTATTTGTCATTTAAGGTAGAATTTCAACGTGTCCTATATGAGTGCAATACCTATGACTTTTGTATATTAGAATATGTCTTTCAAGAGATTTATAATGGTAGGAAATATATCATGATGCTTTTTACTTCAGGCGACAAGCCACATGTTTGCCAGGTTTGTGGATTCCGTGCAATAACTAAAGATAATCTGAAGAGACACGTAGATAAAGAGCACGAAAAGATATCGTATCCTTGTAGAGAATGTTCGTTTATAGCGTCAACTAGAACACAGCTTTGGAATCATTCAATGACACATAAAGGGCTGAAAGGTTTGGAGTGTCCCATATGTCAGAACCAGTATAACTCGTAAGTTTTATATAAGTTTTACAGGTATGATAAATGTTTGAGCCAAAGTGTTGAAGATACATGACTTCTTGAATAGGGAAATAGGGAATATAAAAATTATTGAACTCTAATGGAGTGATGTGGCTACTGTATATATACATCTGTCCCTCAACACTAGCACATGAGTTTAACTGGGGTCAAGACCATGTTTCTTCATATGAAATTAGCACTGGTTAGTTTCAGGGGTGTTGATCATTAAGCTTCAAGCTTTTGTTGCACTTGAGTCAAAAGAACATCTGTTTTTAAACTAATCTATGAACTTTATGTTAACTATATTGACAAATAACAGTTGAATTTATAGGATCATCCCTATCTTTTTTAATCAGTTAAATTTCAGATATTGCAAAATTATAAATACATAGATTTATTAACTGTTACTTTTTAAACTTGTAAAGCAGCTAGCATGTGCCAACTAACTAGGCCATTTTCTGATGGTATGATTTGCCATTTGCACTCATGAGTGCACTCATTGAGTCATGATTAAGTTATTAAGAAATTACAATGCATGTATTTGTACAATATAAAGAGCTGAAAAGGAAAAAATGCAAGAAATATTATTATATAATGCAATTTAAGAAGATTTCCATTTTATGTAATGACTTTTTTACCTTCAGAATTAAAGAGCTAAAAGATCATGCTCAGGTTGCCCATCCTACCTCCAACACTGAAGAGCTGGACAAGATTCTTTCCTATAAACATAAAGCTCAGGGAAAACTAGGTAAGACTTTTTGTAAGGTTTGTAAGTGAGACAAAAGTTTGTAGGACCCGATAATGGATCACAAATTATAATGCTAAATATCATGCTAAAATGGATCTGATCCCATGATTTTGTTACAAATCTGTAGTTAAATTATTAATTTCGTTAGACTTTACATTTCATTAGCAATTCTGCAACATTTAGCTTCTATACCATTTACTTTCATTTAACCTGCCAAATTTGAGTGATAAAATACTTGAAGGTTGTTGTTTTTTATTTTCTCTCAAAAATTCTGATGACTTAGTTCCATTTTCCTAAATAGAGGTTCTGAGAGCATCAATTGCCTAATACAATAGTCTTGGCTTAAATAGAGGCAATTTTCTTTGAAATTGAAAAAATATTGAATATGTTGTCAACAAAGATTGTATGTACAATTTCAGGAAGGCGGTCTTATAAATGTCCACATTGTAGTAAAGTATTCCTGCGTGCCAGTTCAGAACTACAGAAACATATCTGGATTCATGAAGGTGTTAAACCATTTAAATGTCCACTATGTACATACGCTTGTCGCAGCAAGAATAATCTCCAGGTGTGTAATTGTTAAAACTACTTTTAGCCTATTTTGCATGTATATCATTAAATAGTACACCCTTTTGCTGTCAGAGCTATATTCATAGAAGCCCAGGATATTTTCCTGGGATATAACTAAGAATTACTGGAATGTTCAATAAAAGATGAATATTTATTGTTTACTTTATACACATACACATATTTAAAAGCTACAATGTTAAGAAAGGAAATGAATATATATCAGAAGAAATGATATTTTTTCCAAAATCATACCAAAATTATAATATAAATAGTAAAAGATCCATTAATTATTAATAAATACCTGTCAGGTTGGTAAATACATGTACCTCTCTTGTATGTAAATACCCATCTTTTTGGTAAATACCTTGCACTGTGAGTGGGACGGGTATACCCATTTTCTTGCGAAAGGGTTAGATCTAAATATTTCTTAAACATTTAATACATTTCTATTCTTTTAAATATTATCACTTATGTGCAGCTTTCATGAGTCAAAATAAAGTTAAGTGTTTTTCATTTGAAAGAAAGTTTTCTTCTACTTCTCAGAAAAAGATTTATAGTTGATAATTTTTAAGTTCTTCTATACTTGCAAATAATTTTAGGCACATATGTTGAGGCATTCAAAGGAAAAACCATTTACCTGCTGGGAGTGTGGAAAGGCGTATAAATCAAAGACAGCATTACGTTGGCATGTTAGATCACATGATGGAAAATTGTTTAAGTGTGATAAGTATGTGTAACTCATCTTCTTGCTTATTCAGTTTAAGCAAATTATGATGATTTAAATCATTGTTCTTAAAAAGACAGAAGATTATTAGTCAGAAGACAGTAAAATTCAATTTACTTAGAGTTGATCGCCCAAAGTTATTTGACATTACCCTTTGGCAATTTTTGTAATGGACTATTCCTTATTAAAGTTGGAACAATTCATTAGCAGCAATATTGATATAAAGATACTTTAATTTAGCCTCCTGTAGTATAGAATCTGCTCAGATGACATGAATTGGACATGGCTCTATATAGAAAGTGTATGCTTCAATTTTCATTAGTACATAAGTTTAGTTCTATTGGATTTGACAAATGTTACCATTTAAATGTCTTCCATTTGACAAGAGACAAGTTGTATTTCAAAGCAAATGTCATAATAAGTATCTAAATTGAAAGCATAGTGTTTGTAACATTTCATTAAAGCAGAAGAAGTATTGCATGAGTTGAAGTCATGATGTCTCAAAACTTTTACATAAGACTCTTAGGCTTTCCCTTAACCAAGTTCTACTGTAATAATGTATGTTTGTTAAATAACAAGAGATACATTTGCTTTAAATTGTCTCTAGATATAACCAAAGGGATATGAAGGCAATGGAATTGAACCATTATTTAATTTTATGTACATTTATATAGGTTGCTAGTAACAGCTTAATTTATACACTTTGAGAAAAAATGTCATATTGTCCTGGTATACCCACATTGTGTTTGTCTTATGATATGTATAATGGAACTTAATTAGTATTGTTTATTGTCAATATAGATGTCCATATGAGGCTACACAGAAAAGTCACCTAAAACGTCACATGGAGACGCATGAAGTTATCAAGAAGTTTGTGTGTGGAGAATGTAAATTCTCAGCTAATACACTAGGCTTCCTAAAAGTCCACTACGCAAGGTAAATATAAGCATTGATTTGATATTACTATAAGGCAAACAAATATTCTTTTTCTGGTCCCCAGACTTTTAGAAAATAAAATATTAATCTGATATTAGTGTAAACCCAAAATCTTTTCATTCCAGTATATGTATATACTTTGTACCTACCTTCTCTTTTGGGGTCAGGGACCAGAAACAAAACTTTCTCTTTTTTTTGGCTTTAATAGTTATGATGTTAAAAACTAGTGAATGTTACTTTGTGGTTTGGTTGTTACTGTTGAGGCAACAACATAACCACTTGGCCACCTATCCCACCACCTGTCATTTGTTCTTAGATTTTAAGACTTTCACCTTAATTTGATATATAGATTGCGTTTTGTCATATACATTCAAAATGTTCTATTTATTATGTTTTTATTAAACATTTTTATTAAACATGTTAACATTTTATTTTTATTTTGTTTACAGGTTTCATAAGAACATTAACATTCAGGATATTGCCCAGCTGGGCAGTGCCCCAATAGAGGTATCTCAGGAAGTGAACACGTTCAAGTGCATTAGCTGCGACTACCTCTTCGGTAATCTCACTGATTTAAAGCGCCACCTACGAACACGGCATCACGTCAGTGTGCAAGAAATACAAAAAGTACACGACAGTCATGGAAATGTGTCTGAAGTACAGGTAATTGGAGATACAATATAAACATTTGATAGGGTATAAGTTCTTGACTATGATTTGTATGTACTTTATGAACACTAGATGTTCCTCTACTATCTATAAATTGTGTTATTGAGTTTCAAGTTTTAAGAAGTGATTGTTACTGAAATCTCTATGGTAGGGAAGGTTTTTTGGATGGAAGTTTTAAAATAATATTTAAATTTCTAGAATTTGAATTATTGCATAAAATTGATCCGCCAGAGTTAATATATTGCCTAGTACAACAAAATTTATCTAAACTCTAAAACAAGCTAGATCTGAATTCTTTATTAGCATAAATTTGCTTGCTTATTATCTCCAAAGACTTAATAGTCTATTGTAGAATATTATGAAATGCTTGTAAACTTTTTAAGGAAAAGTAAGATAAATATCATTATATCTTCAGGTAGTACAAGTTGAAGATCCTTCTCAGAATCCAGTTACTATGGAAGTTATTTCAGAAGGCACTCAGTCCCAAATTGTTACTGGTATGTGAACATTATATCTGTTTCATCTAAATGAGTCCCTCCATTTTGGTAATATTAAGTTATTTTGAATTTGAAACTGTTATGTTCATAATGGCATTGCTAATTTTTTTATGTTCAAATTAAACGTTCATTATTATGGTCATATTGTGCCATTCCAGATTGAAGCAAAATCTTTAAAATGAATGAATCGGTATCTTTTCTCTTGAATTTATTGTAATTTGTGTGTTTTATTGATCACCACATCAAAACAACTTTTACGATCTGAAATGCTATCCAAAATTATTTTTATTTAACCCTCAAATTAAACTCTAACTTAAATACTGAAAAACTTTCAGATGAAAATCTAGATGAAAAGACAGCATCTGCAGTAAATATCCTCCAACAGATTATTGGAATGTCTCAAAATGGCAGTCTAACTGGTGCCCAGCAAATTGATGGTACTTCAGTGCTACAGATGAATCCGGAAACCATCATAGTTCAGCAGGATGGGAGCCAGATGTATGTGTCAGCAGAGAATGCCACAGAAATTGATGGGAACCAGTATGTGATACAATATATACCACAGACAGACGAGGTAGGATACTTTGATATATTTAATTGCATGTTGATAAATCAAATGAAGGACTGAAATAAAAAGAAAATTTGTGTCATGTTTATGACAAGAATAAGAAAGAAAGTATTGTTTAAAACTGAAATTTTCTATAATTTAAATCTTCCAGTGTATTTGAAATTTTAGGCTAGAACATAAAATATTTTTTCTGAGAAATTCATTTAATAAAGTCAGCAAATGGGAAATCCTTAACTGATTTCATATCTTCCCAGTAAAGAACTTTACCATTAAATTGCTGGAATCAAAACTGATAGGTTCTATACTATTATTCTTAATTTTTGTATTATTATATTGAATTCCCCTAAACTTTGATTAGACTCTTCCAAGTTAAAGGGTTAGACTCTTCCAAATTAAAGGGTTCGACTCTTCCAAATTAAAGGGTTTGACTCTTCCAATTCTTCCAAATTAAAGGGTTCAACTCTTCCAAATTAAAGGGTTCAACTCTTCTAAATTAAAGAGGGCGAAACCATCAGCAGGTTAAGGGAAAAATATCACTGATGTAAAATATATTACAGGGGACAGGGGAAGAAGACATGAGGATGATCGAGGTACAGGAAGACACAGTAGAAGCTCACGTCCTTGATGAGGTCACAACAGATGTTCACTCAGAAATAGTCACAACCACTTGATAACAGTTATATTTGCTATAAAAACATGTTAATTGTCAGAGCTCAATTAATCCAGGGTTGTCTAAGAGCAAAGCAAGTCTCAAAATAAACTACCGTATATTCTGTGATGAAGACTTCCTCTCTAATCAAGATCCCCCGCCCCCTTTCAATTTTGAAGAAGAAAATGAAAGAGTTACCAAGATGATAGTATTATATTTAAAATTTAAGGAAATAAGCAGAAATTTTAACTTCCAAAATACATTATTCAGAGGATTATAACACAAAAATGATCAACATTCTTTTTATGTTCTATAATTAATACTCACCTTTTGGAAAATGTAATGCCACTGGGGTGTTTGTTAGAGATTATATGGTAGTTTATTGAATAGTCCTAATTGATAGCTTGTTAGCAGCCTAAAGATTATTTGACATTTTACAGAGTATTGTGATATCATAACATCTAAAAGATAGTTTATAGTTTTTCTTTAATGGGCATTTGTTAAGATTTATGTCAAAATGGATCAAAATGAAAAAAAAATCTATTTATTAGTAATGATTAAAATTGGATGACATTTCTTTGTACATTTTGAAGTTGTTTTGTTATGTTTTCATTTATTTTGTGAATTTTATAACATTGAAAAATTGTGAAAATTACTGGTATATATGCACCATATGCAAATTATATGCTTTGGGAAGATGTTTTAACTTTAAATTTATTTTTTCAATTGTTTGGATCTGTTGTTCGGAATAAAATGGAATGATAGTTTTGTTGATGGTGAAGTGAATATTGTTAAGTTTTGAAAAATAGTCAGCTGACATCTAGGGGCATGTAACTGTAACTGCATGAGAAATTTATTTAGAATTAACAATTATGCTGTAAACATTGTGAATATAAAGGTTGAAAAATACAGATCATCTAACATAACACAGAATAGAAGATATGAAATCTCATTTTATAGCATGGGTAACTGATTTTACATGTTAGAAGCTATAATTGTATTCTTTAAGATTATTTTGTTAATAACTTATTTATTTTTGAGATAAAATCATTAAAGCATTATGATAATATATTGTTTATTATATTGTTTGTTTATTCCATCTCAGTTACTTATATCGAAGCCCTTGATGCATTGATTAAGAATGCATAAAAAACAAATTGTTCTCAAAAGTTGTGTGTGTAAAATGACAGTAATTTGCTAAGAACGAGAGTTTCAAATTCATCAACATTAGGACCTTATAAAAGTATATGTTAACACTGGAATGCGACTTTTGCGACTCTAAAAATGGTATTGCAAGGCTGTGCATTTATTTTGACGTGATGTCATTTGCGTTGTACAAACATAGTGTAATGACACACTAAATGTTAGCGTTATACTGTATGCGCATCAATGAAAAATGACTCTTTTTCACTTGAAACAGACTTTATTTTCGGTATCAGATAAAAAGAATATTAAATTTGTGTAAGTTGATTACTAAATTTATTGAAATAATTTGATTAGAATAATATGCAAGCTTCTGGCTCACATAATATAACTATATATTCAACTCCTGTATTATTGAACTTACACTCATTCAATATCCTGTATATGTGAGAAGCCTTTGTCACTAGTATTGAGCCCCGCCAGCCTGCACTTCCATGCTGTCTAACCAGGCCCTGTACTACTGGAAGCTCAATTTTTAGCTCACCTGTCACAAAGTTACAGGGTGAGCTTTTGTGATCGCTTTTCGTCCGTCGTCCGTAAACTTTTACTTTAAATGACATCTCCTCATAAACCACCAAGCCAATTTCATCCAAACTTCACAGGTCACCTTTGAAAATTGTTCAAAGAATTTAATTCCATGCAGATTTCTGGTTGCCATGGCAACCAAAAGAAAAAACTTTAAATATCTTCTTCTAAAAAATGCAAAGAGCTAGAGCTTAGATATTTGGCATGAAACATCTTCTAGTGAGTATCTACCAAGTTTGTTCAAATAAAAGCCCTGGGGTGAAAATTGGCCCCGCCCCGGGGGTCATTGATTTTCCTTATATGTGTATAGCAAAACCTTAAAAAATCTTCTTTGAAAAAACTGAAATAGCTAGAGTTTAGATATTTAGTACGAAGCATCTTATAGTGAGTGTCTACATAGTTTGTTCAAATAAAAGCCCTGGGTCAAAACTGGCCCTGTCCCAGGCGTGTCATTATTTTTAACTGTATGCATATAGTAAAAACTTAAAAAATCTTTTTTTAAAAAACCCAACGAGCTAGACCTTAGATGTTTAGCATGAAACATCTTCTAATGGGTGTCTACCAAGTTTGTTCAAATAAAAGCCCTGGGGTTTAAACTAGCCCCGCTCCGGGGGCCTATATACAGGTGAGCGACTTCAGGGCCATCATGGCCCTCTTGTTGTATCCTGATATTGAAATCCCTTAAACTTTGTATGGACTATTTCAAATTTAAGGATGGGCAAATCCATTTCACAAATTCAGGAGGTTTAAGGTTTAACCCCACAAACAAAATATAAGACCAAGTACACAAGCAGAATTTAGGAATATACAATGTACCTTCTTTGTATTAGCTGCAACCCAGTGTCTGACTGAAATACTGGTTTGAGGGATTTAAACATATCCTGACAAATAATTGGCAGTGGAAAAGAAAATAAACAAGTGTAAACAATAAGAACTATTTTATTACAAATGGGCTTATAGCCACCCTGGTAGGATAAAGCAATTATAAAACATAAATATTTACATTAAAAATCATACAATCCACAAATTTATCCGTTCTTGTTTATATTAAAAAGAAAAGCTTTAACACGGAATAACACAAACTTATGACAAATACCTGGGACAGAAGATAAAGAGTGTATCTTTCTGTCCCAGCAATTACATAACAATTTTTAACAAAACATTTTGGTGCACCAAGTTTTTTTTTACAAATGAGTATTGAATGAAAAGTAAATTTTTTCGAATCCTGAAAATCGTGGTCTTGTTGACTGCACTTTTCACAACATTCACGAATTCAAATACCTAGCTAAACACCGTTTTCCGGTACTTTCTGTACATAGCTCTGGGGAATTCACCTAATGGAGTGTAATAGCGAACTCGATGTTTTCGGCCTTTTTTTACATTAAATTGAAATAAAACAGTTATTTCTTTATAAGAAAGTGATTAAATATCATTATATGAATAATTCCATACAAAAAATAAAGTAAATACACAAGTTTACGCAGAAAATAACCTTATTTATTATGGAAGATTCCACTACGTCTGTTTAAATTTGATTGATTTTCATTATAAACAATTTATTTTTTACAAAATTTGCAATAGATATTAAAGGAATATTGATAATTTTCAAAAGCATCAATTCTTTTCACCTTAAACGGTAAAATAATGATGGAAAAATAGAAATTTCATGTAACTGTGTTATGTACTTTATTTGGTGTAATTCCCCAGAGCTAAATCCGTAACGTACCGGAAAATGGTGTTTAGCTAGGTTTTTGAAAAGGTCAATTGGACTACTACACTCTTTAACGGTTAAATAAATGTGTAGCTTTCAACAAGTCATATTTGCTGGGTTTTTGTTGTTTTATTTCTTAAAGAAAAGTAAATACAAAATAATAAAACAAAAATGTTTTATATTTTATTCTGACGTTTTGGGTCCTGCAATTTTGCTATGATGCTATGCCAGAATTTTTTTTTTTACTTTAATAAAACTGATTTTTATAGGGGAACATTGTTTCATGTTTATGCAACAATTCTACCCATTTTTGTAAATACTGAAAAATTTGTCATTCATGTAAAATACACGAAAATTAAGCATCAAAAAATTAAAAGGCAGCAGTTAGCATCAGAATCCTATTGATCTCCCTTAACAATATTAAAACTTAATCTGCAAAGTCTTTAAAACCAGTTTAGAGCCAGGCTAGACAGCACATCCATTCAGCCTTGATAGGATCTATACTTTCAGCTGATGAACTTAAAATATTTCAAAAAAATATTAAAAATTTACAATCGAGTGCTTCAAGATAGAAGTTGGATATACCTATTCAATAAATTTTGAAGGTTTCTATCAAGCTCGTTATATAAAGATTACACCCTCTGTGTTTGTTTTCATCAAAAGTCGCATGGTAGATATACGTTTAATCTGTATAAATATTATTTCCAAAATGATAATTGGTGAGGTGTTGTAGAGGAGAAGAAAAATTTATTTCTAGTTCCAATGACCCTTGACCTAGTCAACCTGAAATCATTTCTGTGTATTCATACTATTTTGTTAGATGTCAAAGACTTAACTGCATCGTTATCAAAAAAAAAATTAAAGTGGAATTGGTACATGGATTAAAAGTACATTTGTGTCAAACAATTGTGTAGTTGCATGGCATATACATATATGTATTTTTATGATATGAGACAACACAAATGACAAAACAGTTTACACAAAATAGTTATATTTAACATACTAGTAATCTAAGATTTGCACTGATTTGATGGGATTCTTTTTATGGTACCTAATTTCTACAACAATATAAACCACAAAGTCAGACAAACAGCCCTTGCTTGCTTGTTTTGGTGTTGTTTTTTTTGGTGTTGTGCCGATTTTAATATATTTGTGGTCATATCCCAAAGGTCGGTCCAACTAGCCAACTTGCACAGGATAACTAACCAGTAATTACCAATTTCTCCGCAAGTGACCGACTACAAATCCCACTTGATTTCTTAATCAGTGGTGAGAGACAAAATTTTGAGCCGCGTCATGACAAAACCAACATAATGGGTTTGCGACCAGCATGGATCCAGACCAGCCTGCGCATCCACGTAGTCTGATCAGGATCCATGCTGTTCGCTTACAAACCCTATTACAAGTAGAGAAACTGATAGCGAACAGCATGGATCTTGATCAGACTGCACGGATGCGCAGGCTGGTCTGGATCCATCCTGGTCGCAAACTCACAATGTTGGTTTTGTCATGACGCGGCTCAAATAAATAATAAAATCGATGTGCGAGATCAATTGTTACAACAAACAGATCTAAATATAGCTATAATGAGATTAAATAAGATCTATCTCTATTAGTCATGAAAGTTTGAAATTGTTAAAAGTAGCCCAACCAAGATGGATAAAGTATGCACATGAATAGCTTCTCTCTTAAAAAAAAGAACAATGGATGTATAAAAAGAAACTTTGTTTTTAAATCAAATGTACATGCAACAAAAAATAGATGATCTAGATCAATCAATAATTTAGATTATCTTACAAAAAGCACATGCAATCTTGAAAAGTAATACAGTCTCAGACTTTGACTGAATGGATTCTGACCAATGGAATAATTCTATTTTGAGACTGGTTTAAATTCTTATCTTGTTACTATTAGAATGTACTTTGAATTATAACTATTACTTCCTACAACAGCAACAGCATATAATATTTTATTATAATTTAAAATAATTAAAATGATTTCCATTTCTCGCACACATGTATATTAATATATTTTAAAATATGTTTTCAGATCAACCCTTACTTTAATCTGGGATATAATTTAACAGAACAAACAATTGTAGACTGTGCTTCGTTATTATGCCCCCACAATGTGGGAGCATATAGCGTTGCACTTGTCCGTCCGTCCGTCAGTCCGTACGTCCCGAAATCTTGTGAACGCAACTCCTCTTAAACCGGATGGCAGATTTTGCTTAAACTTACAGGGATGAACAACCTTAATGTGCAGATGGTAGTAAAGGAAGGAATTTTCGCTGCGACCAAATTTAAGAGAATTATGGCCCTTTGTTGATTTTTTCACTAGATACTATGTAGAAATTTTGTGAACGCAACTCCTCTTAAACCGGATGGCAGATTTTGCTTAAACTTACAGGGATGAACAACCTTAATGTGTAGATGGTAGTAAAGGAAGGAATTTTTGCTGCGACCAAATTTAACAGAATTATGGCCCTTTGTTGATTTTTTCACTATATACTATGTAGAAATTTTGTGAATGCAACTCCTCTTAAACCGGAAGGCAGATTTTGCTTAAACTTACAGGGATGAACAACCTTCAGGTGTAGATGGTAGTAAAGGAAGGAATTTTCGCTGCGACCAAATTTTACAGAATTATGGCCCTTTGTTGATTTTTTCACTATATACTATGTAGAAATTTTGTGAATGCAACTCCTCTTAAACCGGATGTCAGATTTTGTTTAAACTTCCAGGGATGAACAACCTTAATGTGTAGATGGTAGTAAAGAAAGGAATTTTTGCTGCAACCAAATTTAACAGAATTATGGCCCTTTTTTGATTTTTTCATTATATACTATGTAGAAATTTTGTGAATGCAACTCCTCTTAAACCGGATGGCAGATTTTGCTTAAACTTCCAGGGAGTAACAACCTTAATGTGTAGATGGTAGTAAAGGAAGGAATTTTTGCTGCGACCAAATTTAACAGAATTATGACCCTTTGTTGATTTTAAGTTTTCAACTTGTGGCACATGTAGTCCAAAAAATATTTTACCTAGAGTCATAAGATTGACAGAACAGTGGCGTGTGGGGGCATCCGTGTCCTATGGACACATTTCTAGTCTTTTTTGTCAAATCTGATGTAGGTGCAGCTATTTTGTCATGCTGATCTATGTGAAAGTCGCTTTTTTTTTCTATGGTAAAATTCTGTAGATAATAGAAATATTAACCAACTGGCATAAAATTCTATCAGTCCTTTTATATCTAAATGGATTTAACATGATTTTATATAAATTTTTTAATGTTATATTTATAATAACAACATTAATATATGATCATACACTACACTTATCGACTGATTACCTGACAATTGCACAACAAGCTTGTCCCATTATATCATGTCCCAAATTTGATCACAACTGAGTATATAAATAAACACATAATATGAGCCATGCCATGACAAAACCAACATAGTGGGTTTGCGACCGGCATGGATCCAGACCAGCCTGCGCATCCGCGCAGTCTGATCTGGATCCATGCTGGTCGCAAATGCACAATGTTGGTTTTGTCGTGATGCGTCTCATATAATAATTCACAAATTATAACACAAACAGACTTGCAGTATATATGATCAGAAAATAAAATATATCTACAAAATGACTAAATTGATATACATACATATTGCAAAAATCTATGTAAACAAATATAAAATAAACAGACTAACTAGAGTATAATTTATACCAGAAGTTCATTCAGTAAAACAAATCTACATATTGTATATATTTACATGGAGTAATTTGTTTTGCAAAAAAAAAAAGATTTTTTGAAATATCTTAATTAGTTTGGCACTTCTGAACAGTGGCATAGTGTTAAGTAATACGCAAACTTGTGCTAATAGCAAGCAAAAGTTAAATGACAACTTGAGGTATACTAGAATTTTAACTTAAATACACTGAGTTTCTTTCTTTTTGATGTAAAAAAAAATGATTTCACTGAAACCATCCCCTTTCTGTAATGGGTTTGACCGTGTCTGCAATTTTTATGATTAATGCTTCAATGATGAAACTAAAAATATCAATTTTTTATGTCTAGTGTGGCTCTATGATCTTTAATGTTACATAGACCACTGGTATTTCCCATAAATTTTCAAAAAGTATAATCAACAGCAGTTTCTCATTTACAGCACTTAAAAGTTTAAACTTGTGGTATTTTGTTTAACTACCAACATTTGCTTGTAAAGCATATTCACTCATAATATTATCAACAGTTAATGGTTAATAGTATGTACTCACGAGATTTTGTTTAGCAACAGTTAATGGAATGAATTGTACTTCAGATGAATTAAACATGTAAAATGAATATTGGCAAGTAAATAGAATTAATGTATGAACTAATAACTATATGAATATGAAACTAAACAAATATAATTTTTTTTTCAATTGTAGTGATGTTCATAACGACTAACAAAGTACTTTTTTTAATGAAACTAAAGGCCAAATTAAAATAATATTGAGGTTTTGTAACATGCTAAAAATACATTAAAAAATCACTCGCCATATACATATAAAATATTTTAGCTGGCAAGGATGAATATACAATTAGTGTTGAATGTTAGTTATTGCAGGGAAAACATTTTAAACCATTTTTAATCATTGTTTTGAAATTAAAATTAAAGTCTTAACAAGAAAACAAGCAATTTTATATAGAAAAAAAAATGATTTTGTGTTGGGTGTAAAAATAACAGATCTTTTTGGTGGCAAGTGTAAATACACAGTAAGTTTGGAATAGTAGGTAAAGTATTTTAAACCTTTTAAATGAATTGCATTGAAACAAAAAAATTGATGCATAAACTTTACTAAAAAAATCATTTTAGGATCCGGACAAAATTACAGGGTCCATTCAGTTTACCAAACCTAATTATCATTTTGTTTTGACCTAGCCTAAACCTAATGTAATATACAATGGTTAATATCATTTGCTAAATGGAAGATACAACAAATAGATTTCTAGACTATAAAAAGTATAACATTTTTTTAGAATGGAACTTTATTTAAAAATGTTCTACTGTAAAGAATTAAACATTGCTGACTATCTAAAAGGTATTTTTATACAGGACAAGTTACTTGTCAATATCATCTAAACAATAAATTTGATTTTGGGTTCTGTTTCATTATTGTTCCAATAAATGAAAAGGAATGTAGGAATACTTCATCAAAAAAAATAATCTATTTTTAATTTCAAACTAGAAATGTGTCATCATGCCACGGATGCCCCCGCATGCAGCCAAAATTTCAGATGGTGCATTAATTATTTTTTTCATTTTAAGTTCAAAGCCCTTAAAACTTTTCAATGTTAACACAAACCATTTCCATACAATGTTCAAAGCACTGAAATTATTCAGTCTTAACCTTTTAGAAATAGCATATTGCATATTTGTAGCCAAAATAATGGCTAAAAGAATGAGTGGTGAAACTGAAAGTTCAAAATTGTTCCAACATTTAGGAAAGATAAGTTTGTCTAAAATCATTGAACCATGACCAAATTCAAACTTAAACTGCTTATTCCTAAGATGTATCTATATTATTTTCAAAGTGAAAGAGACATAACTCTGCCAAAAAATCATCAAACCATGACCAAATTCCAACTTGACCTGCCCATTCCTTTGACATATCCATATGTCAAATTAAAGTTGAATATGTGACACTGTTGGGTAGATAAGGAACAGAAACTGTAAATTTCATATTATTTTCAAAGTAAAAGGGGCATAACTCTCCCAAAAATCATCGAACCATGACCAAATTCGAACTTGACCTGTATTTTTTCATGACATATCAATATGTCAAGTTTGAGTTGATTGTGTTGTACCATTGGGGAGATAATGAACGGAAACTGAAAATTTCATATTTTTTTCAAAGTAAAAGGGGCATAACTCTGCCAAAAATTATCGAACCATAACCAAATTCGAACTTGACCTGTATTTTCTCATGACATATCCATATGTCAAGTTTGAATTGAATGTGTCCAACCGTTCTTAAGATAATGAACGGAAACTGAAATTTCATATTATTTTCAAAGTAAAAGGGGCATAACTCTGCCAAAAATATTCGAACCATGACCAAATTCGAACTTGACCTGTATTTTCTCATGACATATCCATATGTCAAATTTGAGTTGAATATGTCCAACCGTTCTTAAGATAATGAACGGAAACTGATGATGACGGAATGACAGAATGACGGAAGGATGGAAGGACGGAAGGACGGAAGGACGGAATGACGGAATGACAGAACAGGGTAACACTATATGCCCCGGCCATTACATGGCGGGGGCATAAAAATCCAAAAGCTTAAAAATCTTATTTTAGTTCAAGAAGAAATTTTCACTTCAAGTTAACAGAGATACCTCCCCGAACTCCATAAATATGGGTTTTTCCAATCTATTCCTGGCATACATGTTCAATCAAACTTTTATAGTTACCACTTGCAATAAGCACAGCACATTTATCACTCTTTTGTAAATGGTAAAGACAAAAGTAGTGTCTGCGAAGCTATAGCCATAAAAGTTTGAAGTTCTGGATATGATCTATTGAAATCATGGTCTTTATAACACTAAAGTGATTAAGATTTGCAAAAAAACTTCTTCTTCACTAAAAACTGAATTAAAAAAGTTTTGTACAATTATAAAAAAATTCTCTTATCCCAAAATATACTGACCATAAGTTTTTCTTTTCAGTACCAAAAAAAAAATAATAAATTATGTAATCGCTTATAATTAATAAGTGCCCACTGCTGAACCTACCTTCCATTTTATTAACAGTTTTGGTAGCTAAGCTGCAAAGAAGAAAGCTTAAAAGGAAGGTTTAAGCATTAATTTATTGAATAACACTTTGTTTTTTGTAATTTTTCGATGCTTGGTCTCTGCAACATGTTTAGTCTAGAAAATGATACAAAAATGTGTTTCTGAACGCCGATTAGCCCCGCCCTCTCCCTCGTTACGCCTCCTTTCCTGCTCTTCCTTCGCTACCTTGAAACGCTTGTATGCCATTATTGTATCCAACAAATATATACCGAATGCAACCACACATATAACCTGAAATGATGATGTCATAGTTTATAAAGCCAATGTATCACAATTGATGATGTCATAGTTTATAAAGCAAATGTATCACAAATGATGATGTCATAGTTTAACAAGCCATTACATCACAAATGATGATGTCATAGTTTATAAAGCCATTATATCACAAATGATGATGTCATAGTTTAACAAGCCATTACATCACAAATGATGATGTCATAGTTTATAAAGCCATTACATCACAAATGATGATGTCAGTTTATAAAGCCAATATATCGCAAATGATAATGCCATGGTTTAACAAGCCATTATATCACAAATGATGAAGTTACAGTGCAACTGCTTGGAAGCCATGTCTAGTGATTTGAATGGAAGAGCCATGTCAACATGGCCATCCCCTGCCGAATGTGTTTGCTCATTGGAAGAATGTTTATGTAGTAGAGCAGAACAATTCAACTTTAAAGAGGTCTTTTGATAATGAAAACTGATGACTGAAGTGATTACAGATTTGAAACCTATGTGAATACTGATGGCTGAAAATAACAAAGGGCAATAACTGAAAAATAATGCAGGGTATGTTATCATTCTTGTGTGTTGCACTCCTCCTCAGTTAGATCTATCCACCAATGAAGTTTCAAGTTGATACCTCAAATACTTTTAGAGATAAGCTCTGGACAAAATAGTATGAATAAGAACAAAGTGAAATAACTAAAAAATTATATAGGGAAGAGTTATCATTTTTGCGCACAGCATTCCTCCTCAATAAGATCTACCCACCTATGACGTTTCATGTTGACATCATAAACACTTTTTGAGTTATGCTCCACTCAGGTGAAAAATTAAGTATGAGAAATAACAAAGGGCAATAACTCAAAAATTATGAGAAGTAGAGTTATCATTCTTGTGCACTGCGCACCTCCTGAGTGAGATCTATCCACCTATGAAGTTTCATGTTGATATCTCAAAGGCTTTTTGAGTTATTCTCTGGACAAAAATTAATTTTGAAAATAACAAAGGGCAATAACTCTTATGCAGAGTAGAGTTATTATTCTTGTGCACTGCACTCCTCCTCAATGAGGTCTATCCACCTATGAAGTTTCAAGTTGATACCTCAAATACTTTTTGAAATATGCTCCGGACAAAAATGTCAGACGGAAGGATGGACGGACAGATGGACGGACGCACGAAGACTATTTCTATATCCCCTTCCGCCTTTCGGCGGGGGATGACAAGCCATTATTCAATACATTAATGAGGTTATAAAACCATCTTTATACTTTTAGTTATATATAAGTTACAAACCATTCTTTTTATACAAAATTACTATTTCACAAAATTATTCATTTTCTAAAGTTTGCAATTTTTTGTGTAATGTCCAACCAATCAGACAAAATCTCCACCCTTATACATGGTATGGTATACCATATAGAATGGCACTGACTCTAAGAAATATAGCAATTGCTAATGACAGTGATGGTTGGATTTTACCACATTATTAATCTGTCACTCACTAAGTGTCAGTACCATTAACTAAACATCAGTATTTTAAATTTCTCCAAATCTACCAGAATCTTTTTAAAGGATATATCACCATTCCACATTTAATATATCCATATATATATAAATAGATATATAGGAATGTATATACTTACACATGCTGCAACAATACTTGGAAGCCTGGCTGCCCCTACTGCCGCAATAATAGAACAGATGAAATACTTCAATGTGTAAAGAATGAGGTAAATCAGTTCCTGAAATAACAATTACAAATCTAGGTAAACAAATAATTTAAATAGAGATAATAAAGACACAAAAATGTTGATATTTCAAACTCCATATCCAAATTTAAAGTTTTTTTAACTCTCTTTAAAAGAGAATGATCATGATCCGATATGGATCTTAATATTTTGTGTCAGATCAAAGATCCGAATTTCCCACTCGGATATAAGAAACATTAAATACCTTATAATATGTAGATGTTAATATTTGATTTTACAGTACATGTACAGACTTTACAGAATTAAAAATGTCAAACTATAGACTCAATTTGTTTCAAAATTATGAGAATATAGACTAATTAACTGATAATTGTCATTTATATCATTGATTTTAGGACCTTATATACGGTACATGTATATACTTGACAAATGATTTTGGAACTTTTTTCTCCAATAATGTTTTGGATGAATACCTTTAATAATTAATTAACAACATTTTCAAGCTAAGTTATCATTATCATATTCAATCATGTTTATTTTCATTATAATTTGTAATTATCATCATAATATATCATAATCATTATTATTGAAATTATCATACTGACTTAAGATTCAATCATAATAATAAACATTATTACAATAATAATAATCAATACAATTATCATTACAATTAGCATCATTAATAAAAACTTGAATATGACTAAGTTTTTACTTTAGTGTAAGTGTTCAACATATGTGAATGGAAATAACTTAATAAGATTTAAAATTTTATGAAACTAATTTTATTTCGAGCATTTTCTTTTACCACAGTATGTATGTAGATACCAGGTACTTACATATAAGGGCCAAAACCCTGGTAGTCTTGAGTAGATATTCATTGCCACAATAATAAACATAATGGTTGTAGTGATGAAAGCAGATATCGTTGTCCATCCCACAAACCCTGAACCAGTCCAGCCTCCTGCCAGCACTGCTACAAAACCAATCAAACTTAGCACCTGTGATAAAAAGAGAGTTCAACAAATTTAACTGTTTAATTTCATGCATTTAATTTGTATTTTCAAAGAAGATTCAGAGGTTAACTCAGCCAGGATCATGAATGTTTTAGTTTTTTCTATTATTTCAGGGCATTTTTATAGCCCTAATAGATGATATAATTAAGCCCCCCAGATGAATTCAAATAACATCTTTTTTCCCCAATTTAAAAGAAATATTTCCAATAGCTCTCCTAAAAAATCAAATTATTTTGACTTGATTCTTAAAAGGAGTAACAGATTATATGATCATACACATAAATAACACTTGAAAGTTATGTACATTATGTATAAGGTAGTTTTTCGACTATTTAATTTTTTTTTAATTTGACAAAGTTCCAAATATTTCTTTTCCAAATTTAAGTCAAGAAACAAGCTGGAAAAATTTGTTACATACCAGTCATATAACATATGCAATAACCCTATTAGTTAACTTAGATATTATACTATAATTAAGAAGTAACAGAAGAGCTGTAACATGGACAGCATACTATACTTTTCTCAGAATTATTTTACAAATACATGAATTAAATGCAGGAATTTGTGTCAGTTCACAAAGGGGAATAATTCACTGGAAATTCAAATTACAGATATGTTACTTGTTCTGGGACTACAATGATGACCTCAAAAGAAATGTGTGATATTACAATATTAATACTACATATATAATCAGTAGTTAATGATAAAAAGTTTCATGCAATTTTTTTTAAAACCAAGCATTCCCCCATTTTTCAAACACTTTTGCCAATAAGCCATTACAAGTTGCAGAGTCCACTATTTTTATTTAAAAGTTCAAGCTAAAAATCACAAACAACTCACAATTTCTATCAATTTAAGGGCACCTTCAACAGAAAATAAATATGCTTTGTTGAAGCCTGTTTTTCTTTCTGCCTCTGGATCTTTCTCTGTGGTTGCTGAATAAGGTGGGGGTTCTTCATCCCAGTCATTTTCATCAAGAGCTACAGTCCTCATATTCTCAGACATCCTGCTGTAGAAATTATACTACATGTATATCATATCGATTTATTCAGGGAATAGACATAAACACATACAATGTTATCACATATACATGTATATCAACTTGCATATATATATAAAAACACACACATAAATGCAACAAAAATAAATATCAGATTAATTAATGAGTATGTTCTATGTAACCCTAGGATTGTCCATTAAGCTAAAAGCTTATTTCCAATGGGGTCCATTTACTGTAAAATTATTACACTAACTTACATAATAATGATAAATGAATTATAAAGAAGTAAAATGACAATTTTTAAAAATTAAAAAACTGTTCAACAATCAAGACACATTTTTCAATATAATAAGACAAGTACATTGACACAAAGAAATTGAAATAAATTTCGTTTAAACTAAAACATTATCAAGTACAACATAAACATGTTACAAAACCTTATCATAAGTTACACATCAATTAATAATAAATAAACATATTATTCACTTGTTTATCATTTTCATTACTTAAAAAAAGTTTTACTTTCGTTTTAAATGTTTGGATATTGTCGATTGACCTAATGCTGTCTGGTAAAGAATTCCAGTCTTTTATAGCATTATAGAAAAATGTGTTTGTAACATGAGAGTCATTTTGAGGCAAAACAAAATTAAAACTAGAGGATGCTTTTGTAAAAAAGCGCATGTCTCCCCCACTGCTGAGAATAACTGTGAATGGAAACAGGAATGGAACTGGAGAAATCCGGAAATGAGAAAATGACCAATGGTCACTGTGACCTTAACCTTTGACCTACTGACCCCATAAACAAGAGGGATCATCTGCTCAATAAGACCAATCATCCTATGAAGTTTGAGGGTTGTAGGTCTAAAGGAACTCTAGTTATCATCCGGAAAGGAGAAATTAACCAACGGTCGCTGTGACCTTGACCTTTGACCTACTGACCATTAAAACAATAGGGATCATTTGATTAATAAGACCAATCATCCTATGAAGTTTGAGGGTTGTAGGTCAAAAGGAACTCTAGTTATCATCCGGAAATGAGAAATTGACCAACGGTCACTGTGACCTTGACCTTTGACCTACTGACCCCAAAAACAATAGGGATCATCTGCTCTATAAGACCAATCATCCTATGAAGTTTGAGGGCTGTAGGTCAAAAGGAACTCTAGTTATCATCCGGAAACGAGAAATTGACCAACGGTCACTGTGACCTTGACCTTTGAACTACTGACCCAAAACAATAGGGATCATTCTGCTCAATAAGACAATCATCCTATGAAGTTTGAGGTCTGTAGGTCTAAAGGAACTCTAGTTATCATCCGGAAACGAGAAATTGACCAACGGTCAGTGTGACCTTGACCTTTGACCTACTGACCCCAAAAACAATAGGGATCATCAGCTCTATAAGACCAATCATCCTATGAAGTTTGAGGGCTGTAGGTCAAAAGGAACTCTAGTTATCGCCCGGAAACGAAGAATGGACGGACGGACTGACGGACTGACGGACGGAAGGACTGACGGACGGACAGGGCAAAAACAATATGTCTCCCCCCGAGGTGGGGGAGACATAATTACTAGATCTTAAATTGGATATTCTACATATTTTAATCAATTCCTTTAAATAAGAAGGGCTTTTGTTGTAAGCTTTTGTTGTAATAAACTTTATGAATGTGGTTGAGACTTAACTGTCTAACTCTATCATTAACATTTAATATTTTAAGATCAGACAGAACCTTATTTGTCACCGAAGTCCTAGGTGTATAGTCTTTTAAGCGCACAACCTTATTTTGAGCTACTTGAAGTTTGTGCTTCAGTGACTTACTCAGTCCTTTGTACCAAGAAGATGAAGAATAATCAAAGTGACACAGCAAAAGGGCAGGACATAACTGTTTCTTTATTTCTTCTGATAAACAATTTTTGTAACAGTATAGAAAATGTAATCTTCTATTCACCTTTGAAAGAATGCTCTTGACAATTTTATCTCGTGATAGGTAACAATCAATATTCAAACCAAGATATTTAACTTCAGACGAAGACTTTATTGTTTGATCATTACATGAAATGGAAAATTTTTGTAATTTATTAACTTTTGATTTAGAACCAAGTAGCATACATTCAGTCTTACCCAGGTGTAGAGATAATTTATTGTCAACTAACCAATCAGAGCTTTGTTCCAAAACCTTTCCAAGTTTTTGGGCTGTAATTTTTGGATCCATATGCGAAAATAATATTGTGCTATCATCTGCATATAAAATTAATTAATTTGCAATCAGAATCGATACTAGTTACCATGTCATTAACATAGCAGAGAAATAGTAGAGGACCAAAAAGACTGCCCTGAGGGACCCCACATGTAATAGGAATTGAGTCAGAAAAATTTTACCAATGCTTACTTTTTGATACCTTCCTAACAAGTATGATTTAAACCAAGAAATAGATTTGACACCTAACATATCTAATTTATCACACAAAATATCATGATTGACTGTATCAAAATTTATGCTTTTTGTAAGTCCATCATAACCATACCAGGAAGTAACCTTTTTCCAAATTGTTATGAAAATAAACATGGATCTTGAGGTATGCTGCTTTAACGATATCATAACATTATGTTTAATAATGAAATTTTAAAGAATTTCATGATTTCAATATCTCAATACTATGTTTTTTTGTGGACATTCAGCATGTAGCTGCAATTTACTGAAATTATCCGATTTAGTCTGAATCACTCAATTTTCATTCAGTTTTATACCTGATTATCATCCATTTCAACAATTTTTGATGCCATATTCTCAGAGACCAAAACTGGTATTGCAATAATTATTATAAAACAAGACAAAATTATTTCGGTTTATTTTCTTCCCATTTAATTTTATATAAAGCAGGAATGTATTTCAACAACTTCAAGTGTCTTACTCACATTCACTTAACAGAACAAATGTCTCTTAATTATATACTCTTATAATTTTATGTCTGTTAAGTTAAACAATGATACCCACATTATGTAATATCTTCCTAATTCTATTGACATGAAAGTGTTTATTCTGATTTATATAATGTATATCATCCCCTACATGTTACTATATACATGTATATGATTAAAGAGAAATACTTGGAAAACATCTTGACATTGGAAATAAAATAACAATCGAAAGACTAAATGGGATTATTGTCTAATTACTTAAAGAAAGTAAGCCCTGAAAGTGTTCACTGTCGTTAGGACAATATATCAAGTGTCGTTTGAACAGATGAAATTAAATTTGTCAACTCATAAATTTCCTTGAAATTCTCTTTCTTATGGTACTTAAAATATGATTGAGCAAATGTCTGTCAAGGGTTGAAGGTTTCCCGAAAAAGTTTATCATCGCAGTTGTTACTTAAAAAATAAGTTTAACAGCGGAATTATGTCATCATTGCGGAGGAAAAAATATTTTAGTGCAGTAATTGTCATTGAATCGAGAAATATGCATTGAAAGAACAAGATACACAATACATTTATAGGGAAACTTACGGAATCATAACTTAATACGTAGGCCACAAAAAAATCGGCAAAGCTATGTTAACAACACTATGAGTGATATACTCTGAATACTATGGGTTTTATATCACTAAATAGAAACCCAAACATAAACTATCACAATGATTTGACAGAGTATTTCTTGCATATCAGACTGGTGTTTTTGTTAATTTTACCCATGCCGGATATTTCATCTGTGCGAGAAGAGTCGCGTGCTATACAATGGCATGCTTTGGATGACGTTATTTCGACGTTGTGAATGAAGTTGTTATTTCATACCCTACTGTACGAAAATAGTTACGGGTGTAAGGACATAAATTTCCAATCGGATTGGAATATCCGTCCTTCGGGAACCTGCCGATTGGCGAGTCCCCTGGGGACGGATATTAAGATCTGTTCAGCAACATATGACAGCTTTAGTTAATTTCAAGTAACAGCCCAAACTGTGGACAAAAAATATCTTATCGTTTGAAGCAACAGTAATTCCTGAACAGGTAGCTTAGTGGGCGGATTACAGAGGTAGTACGTTCGATTCCTAATTTATTAAAACATATTTTAAACAATATCTCTGTTTTTGATTATCATTTTAAAACATCAATACGATAAAGAAAACAACAAATTGTTAAATTAAAATTATCAGGTTTCGCCATAAAAGCAGAACACAAAACCTTTAACTTATCAAATAATCCATTGCAATTGTTTATCATTCTCTGTATAGCCAAATGTATGGTAGAACAATAAAACTCAAAATATGTGTACTTCAGGCATGAAATATGCTAAAATTGTGTAAATGCATGTCTGCGGGAGTTAAACCGAATGAATAGGCAAACACGAATGGGCCAAAAACAAACCAAGCATACTTGACCATGATGTGTAGTTTATCTTTATACAGATAAAGAGATATTTGAATGTACAAGTATATTGCCGGATGCTTGCATATATCTGTCGATGTTTACCATGTTCTGTACGTTCAGTGTCGATATTATCAGTTTGCAATTGACGTGTTAATAAATATATATAAATTTCTGAAAAATGATAGATCAGATTACTTTTCACTGAAAACTACACAGTGATTATTGGAAAAGCACGCGCTATATCATTAAGAAATATTGGTGTCAACTTTGACATCGCGTTTCTACGATTACGTCATTTGACAACTATGTTTGAAATGTCATGACACAGCTCATATTTTCATTTTTACGTATCAGCCTTCGAATTCCACAATTTTATCTCATATGCTTGCAAGTCCCGATTCAAGATGTAATGATTATCATTTTTATTTCGTTTTTATTTAAGAAAAAATAAGATAGCGAATAGTTAAACAAACAAAAAAATTAAAGTGACATCATAATATGTTTTGCAAATAAATTTATGACATTATAAACATAACAAATAGGCTAGACGATTTTCTTGGATGACTTTGTTTCGCCAGATTATTACCGAATAAATTAAGTGAGTCAGAAAATAAGCATGTTTGTGTAGCTTCTCGAAGATTTGACTTTTCTT